GACGACGAGGTCCGCCGTCAGGGCCAGCTGCATGCCCGCGGCCGTCGCGAGCCCCTCGACGGCGCAGACGACGGGGGCCGGGCTGCGGCGGAGCAGCGACATGACGTCGGCGCAGAGCGCGAACGTGGCGCGCACGTCGTCGGGCGAGAGGGTCGACAGCTCGCGCAGGTCGTGGCCCGAGCTGAAGACGCGCGAGGACGGGACGCTGGAGCGCAGGACGAGGACGGACGGGAGGCCGGCGCGGTGGTGGTTCCAGGCGGCCGGGTCGACGAGCCAGGTCGGGTCGTCGTCTTCGTCAGTGGTGGTGGCTGTGGTGTTTGGGGCTTGTTTTTGCATCTTCTTTTTCCTCTTCTTCCTCTTTTTGGCTGTGCTGTCGGGCCCTTCCGGCCAGGGCTTGGGCGGGAGCCCGGCGGCGCGCTCGAAGGCGGGCAGGAGCTGGGGGCGAAAGGGCGGGAGGAGCAGCGGGCGGCCGGTGAGGGGCGACGTGAGGGCGCGCGTGAGCTGGTCGCGTAGGTCACGCAGAGTCGCCAGGCAGAGGGCGTTGCGGCGCGCGGGGTTGTTGATAAGGATGTAGGCCGCCTTGGCTGGCAGCTCGGGCAGCATTTTTCATTTCTTTTTCGTTTTGAGCCTTGTTTTGTTTGCGCTCGTGACACTTCCCCAGCGTGGATCCCCAATGACGTGCAATTGGTGCAGACGCAGCACAAGCTTCTCGTCTCGCGACCTCACGACCCCACACTTCGGCACCCATTCTCCCTCACTCAGTCGGCTCCTTTCTGGCATTTCTTGACCAGACATACGTCCGAGCTCACCAAGAATAGCTCTATTAATACACTCTCCCCCGGCAAAAGCCAGGCAATATCAACAACCACATGTTTCCCAAAAGCGGCGCCATGCCCAGTGCCGAAATGCCAAGCCCAAAGACGGGTTTTCGACTACTCACTGCATGCAGAGCCGTTGCTAGGCAGGTTATTTATAGCTAAATCCGGGACGGCTGATTACAGAGGATCTGGCCCGGGCCCGGCGGCGTGGTTTATATGCACCGATGGTGCGGGGTTATATCTATCCGGCGAGACAGTTAGACCCCGACTCTTCGTCCGGGTCCGGGTAAGATGCTGATATTGCAGACGCGTAACAAGAAATCTCGGCTACTGAATAATCTCCTGGGCCATACGCGTGCATGGCAGATTCACCACGCCTAGCCGAGGAGGATGGCCTAGCGCAATTACTATAAGGGATGCGTTAGCTGCGACCTCCTTGTGCCTCGTTATATCTGCCAAGATACATCCTCACCACCAGGCGATCCTAAACACCGTGTCTGCTAGGCTGCTCGACCCAGCACAACAAAGGCACAGCAAGGGTGCCCGCCCAATATCATGCGACGCCAGACGTGCCTGTCCGCCGCCGCGGCCCTCCTGCTGGGCGCAGCGCACGCCAGGAAGCCGTGCCCGTTCTGGGGCCACATGTACCCCAAGCCCGAGACCATGGTCGACCAGCCCGAAGTCCGGGCCATTGCGGGCACGCTCGACGCCCTGTTCTCCCAGCGCGTCGACGGCAGCGCCGAGCTGGGCGCGGCCAACTTCTCGTACACGGTCGAGGTGTTCTCGACGCGCGACGAGCGCCCGCTCTGGTCGCGCTACCGCACGGCGTCGCGCCTGCCGGTCCAGGACGTCGCCGGCGTCGGCGTGCGCGCCGTCGGGCCCGACACCGTGTTCCGCATCGGCAGCGTCACCAAGGTCTTTACCGTCCTCGCCTTCCTGGCCGCCGTCGGGGATGGCGTCTGGAACGACCCCGTGACAAAGTTCATCCCCGAGCTGGCGGCCCTGGTGGCGGGTCGGGGCGGCGTCCAGAGGGAGTCGACGTGGTCGGTGGACTGGGACGATATCACCATCGGCTCGCTGGCGGGGCAGACGTCGGGGCTGATTCGAGACTGTAGGTTTTTTCTATTGGGAAGACGCCAGGGTGTGGAAGGGGGTAATGCGGCTAACAAGACAACTTCCCTTTCCAGACTCGCTGCTGTCGGAGCTAACGTGGCAGAATGCCATCAGACCGGAACTCCTGGTCTACTTTGGATTCCCGCCTCTGAACCGTAGTGAAATCCCTCCATGTGGTAGCCTGCCGACGTGCAGTCGAGAGCGTATGTTGAGACGGACAATCTGTGCAACCCGATGGCATAATGCGTACTGATCACACGCCGGTGAGAACACCAGAGCTATTTGCCGGGTTTGCGAGACAGCCGCCTTCGTTTCCACCATCTGCAACGCCGGCATACTCCGACGTGGGCTATGTCCTTCTGGCTTGGGCCCTGGAGAACATCACAGGGAAGAAGTACGGCGACATTATCAGACAGTACATCATCGAGCCCCTTGGCCTGACCGGAACGTACACCTCGCCTCCGCCCGAGTCCGTCGGGGTCATCCCAGGGGAAAAGCACTCTACTGGCTGGACATTAGATATGAACCAGGAGGTTAGGTAGGTCCGAGAGCCTTTTTTTTTGTAGCAGGTGGTTCAGTTCCTTGTCACTGACGGGCGTTTGAGTCCAGCACGGGGGGGATGTGGTCGTCTACACGGGACCTCACCAAGTTGGGCCAGGCCATCATGGGCTCCAAGCTGATAAAGCCCTCCATGACGAGGCGGTGGCTCAAGCCGGCCACATTCAGCTCCGACAACCGGGCGAGCGTGGGAGAACCGTGGGGAGTGCGGCAGATTCCGCTCGTGGGCACTAGTGAGTGCGCGCATAGCCCAAGGGGGAAGACCTAACACACCAGACTAAACAGGCGCGCCAGATTCTTCATACCAGTTCGTCACCAGCTTCAACAAGGCCGGCCAGATCGGCAAGTACGGCGTCTTCCTGGCGCTGATCCCCGAGCTCGACCTCGGCTTCAGCGTGCTCACGGCGGGCGAGGTGCCGGCCAACCTCAATATCGGGATGACCGAGACGCTGGCGGGCGCCTTCCTGCCGACGTGGTTGGCCGCGTCGCGCCGCGTGGCCAACGAAACGTACGGCGGGCGCTACCGGTCCGCGGCGCTCAACTCGACCATCCTGGTCACGGCCGGCGACGACAACCACCCGGGGCTCGCGATGCGCGAGTGGACCAGCAACGGCACCGACATGTTCCCCATCGCCCTCAGCGCGGCCGTGTACCTGAACCCGCTGGCGATCCCAGGCGTACAGATCTCCATACGGCTGTACCCGACGGGTCTCGAGGATAGGCTGCCCGGCGGAGAGGGGCGGCGGCGGGTCGCGTTCAAGGCCATGTTCGAGGACCTGAGCCAGCCCGAGGTGTCGAGCATGTACCTGAGCGACTGCGCGACGTGGGTGGCGCAGTCGGGCGCCATGTGGGGGTCGCTGCCGCTGGACCAGTTCGTGTTTGAGCTGGACGGCGTCGTGGGCGCGGGAGGGCGGGCGCGGCGGGTGCGCAACGCAGCGCTGCGGGCGGACCTGGACTGGGTGGCACTGCGGGAGACGGCGGCGGGGGGAACATGACGGACGTGACGTCGAGCGGTGGCGGCTTGCTTTTGCCCTCGTCCCTGTCCACTGGGATAACAACAGCAGCAGTGACAACGACGACGCTGCCGGCGGCATCAGCCACGGGGAATGACACCATGATGGGCGGTCAGGAGGCGCCGGTGTCTAGTTCCAGCTCTAGTCTGGCGCCACGCGACGATCACTTGGGGCGGAAAGGGGCTGAATTGGAGATGATCGGTCGGTTCCACGTGGAGCACAGGAAGACGTGATGGGACAGGAAATAAGGCTGCGCTCTAGCCCCAACTGAGGCGCCCTAGGCTGCTGGACGAACTTTGAGATGACCGTTGAGTTCGACGTGAATGAGATTCGATATTGCCATCATGGCGAATCACAAATGGTAGACGCGCTTCTTGCCGAGTTCCCTAGATTTACAAACTCTAGACTTGGCATGGTCGGCTAGAAGGCCGCTGCTGGCGAGAGGGGCGTGTAGAGCAAGAGCCGATGCCAAGACTCAAGGTGACGCGATGGCTGGGTCGCTGCCGAGAAGGGGCTGCCGCGAATTTGGCTCTCTAAGATGCGGATTTTGGCAACGTCTCGTGGGGAAGGAACAAGCGGACGCGACCGCAACGGTCTTGCTTCTAGAAGTGTGTCCATGACTCGCTCGTCAGCTATTGGCGTAGGAGGACAGCTGTTAGCAAAAGAAATGCCTGCCTGCCACTACCGCTACCAGCCCATTTATGACTCTGTGGCGCTATCAATGAGCATTGATCGACTTGTGCTTGACAATGGCAGCACACTCATTCTTCTCTCTCTAACCAACCACTCTCCAGAATCTATCACCGCCCTGGTCATCGCCATGGATCTGGGGTCCCTCATCCTGAACCCTGTCCTCCGCCCGGTCCCCGCTGCGATTCCCACGCCCCCCGGCTTTGGAGCCACTCTGGTTAGGGTAACATTTTGGAACTCCCGGGGAGGTAGCGCCTTTCAGTCTCTCTTCTAGTCAGGACTTCTCCCTGCTAGAAGAACCAGGTTAGTCGCTGGAGATACAATCCCTGTGGAGAGCCATCCCTGGCATCCCAAGCCCGCGAACATCGACCTCGATCTGGATTCTGGGTATAAGGTCTGGCTCGTCACCTGTCGACATCGCTTCCAAGACTGGGCTATCGCCAAGAGGACAAGGAAGTTTCCAGACTTCCCCCCATCTTCAACAACCTCCCAGTCCCCACGGGCTGAGAAAAGTTTCACAACATGGGTGGTGGAACCTCGCTCTGGGCCTCGCCCGACTGGAAGAACGATCCCAAGCAGATCTTCAACAGCCGCCTGTGGTTCCTGGTCGTCGCCGTCTCCTTCGCCGGCTTCTCGTACGGCTTCGACCATGGCAACGTCGGCGGCGTGCTGGTGCTGCCCAGCTTCAAGCACCGCTTCGGGCTCGACGCCCTGAGCCCCGCCGACTTCTCGTAGCGCCAGGGTGAGATCGCGTCCATGATGTCGGCCGGGGCCGCCGTCGGCGCTCTCTGCGCGGGGCCCTTCTCCGAGTACCTGGGCCGCAAGGGGTCCATGATCACGTACGGCTCCGTCTTCCTGGTTGGGGCCGTCATGCAGCTCATGGCCGACCTGTCCGTCTTCCAGGCCGGGCGCTTCATCGGCGGCCTCGGCATCGGCGGCACCTCGGTCCTGTCCCCGCAGTACCTGGCCGAGAGCAGTCCCAAGACCATCCGGGGCTCGCTCACGACGCTCTACAACCTCGCCATCATCCTGGCCCTCTCGCTCGCCTTCTGGGTCAACTACGGCGTCAGCAGGTGGAACTACGCCGGCGTCAAGACGGACGACCGGCAGTGGCGCACCTCGATGGCCATCCAGATCATCCCCGCCGGCGCCATGGCCCTGCTGATCGCCATCGCCATCGACTCGCCGCGTGGGCTGATCGCCCGCAACAAGTGCGAGAAGGGCCTCGAGGCTCTCTGCAAGCTCCGTGGTCTCCCCGCCGACCACCCGTACGTGCGGCAGGAGTACCTCGAGATTTTGCGCGCAGGCCGACGTTGTCAACGAGCTGAACAAGAGTATGTTTTGATGTCCCTCGTTCTATCTCTAAAAAAAATAAAAAAATTCCCGACTAAAAAATGACACTCCACAAAAGACCGTACCTACCTCCTCGCCGCCCGCGACATCATCAAGATCCCCAGCTACCGCCGCCGCTTCGCGTTGGCCACGACGCTCTTCATCTTCCACAAGCTCACGGGCACCGACGCTATCAACTACTTTGCGCCCCAGATCTTCCCGTTGCTCGGCGTCAGCTCGGGCTCCATGTCGCTCATGACGACAGGCATCTACGGCGTCGTCAAGTTCTTCGCCTCGCTGCTCTACGTCAGTTTCCTCATCGACCGCGTCCGGCCGCCGCGTGCCCCTCATGGTCGGCGCCGCCCTCCAGGCCACCGCCATGCTCTATATAGGCCTTTACGTCCGCTTCGGCCCCAAGGAGGCTCCCGCCGGTGGTGGCGTGCCCGCGGGCGGCATCGTTGGCGTCATCTGGATCTACGTCTACGCTTTCGGCTGGTCGTTTGGCCACTCGGTCGCCCCCTACGTCCTGGCCGTCGAAGTGTTCCCGTCAGGCATCCGGTCCTTCTCCATCTCCTTCTGCCTGATGCTCAACTGGCTGTTCGGCTTCGCCGTGTCGCTGGCCACGCCGCACATGTTGCGCGTCATGGGCTACGGCACCTTTTTGTTCTTTGCGGGCGTCACGTACGTGGGCGTCGTCTACGTCTACTTTTGCATGCCCGAGCTCAAGGGCCGGTCCATCGAATCCATGGACGACCTGTTCGAGCATCGCCTTTGGGAGATGTTCCGCCACGCCTACCCGACCGAGGACGAGAAGGCGCGCAAGGACGTGCAGCGCCAGATGCTAGACGAGACCAAGGGCGCCGAAGGGGTTGTCCACGCCGAGCGCTCCAGCGCCACCGAGGACTCGGACGGCGTTGATAAGGCGGCGTCAAAGGCCTGATTTTTTTTTGGCATAGTCTTGCTCGCTGCTTATTTCAATAGCTTTGCTATTTTGTAATGGGTTTTTTTTTGTTTTACTACGAGGGGTGGGATGGCTTTATGTGATCAAAAATCATCAAACGCACCGCCGGTCACTCTCGCATCATTGCTGAGCATGTGAAGCTGTCCTTGCCGTGTGGATCATCAAGACTATAAATAGCTCCTCGGCTCATTCCCGCATTTTCCAATCGCCCATCACGGCTTGGCCAGCCCCTCCTCGAGCGCCTTGATCTGCAGCGCCAAGACGCGTGAGTAGTAGCGGCACATGGCCAGGTTCCCGCCCATGAACCAGAAGCCCGGGTGGCCGGAGCGACGCCAGATGGCGCGGAACTCGCCCTCGCCGTCGAAGCCCCAGACGTCGCCGACGCGGTCGGCCACGGCGTCGCCGAGGACGGCGCGCGCCTCGCTGCGCATGTTCTGGTAGCCCGTCGCAAACACCACCTCGTCCGCCTCGAGCACCGTCCCGTCGGCGAGCCGGATCCCGCGCGGCAGCACCTCGGCCACCTCGCTGCCCTGCTTCACCTTGACCTTGCCGTCGACGATGAGCTGGCTGCAGCCCACGTCGATGTAGTAGCCGCCCCCGCGCTGAAAGTACTTCATGAACAGGCCCGCGCCGTGCGGCCCGATGTCGATCTTGAACCCGGCCCGCGTCAGCCCCTGGAGCAGCACGGCGTCGTTCTCGTTCTGGCGCGCGTTGACGTCGACCTGCAGGCTCTTGAACAGCTCGGTCGGGTAGCTCCATAGCCACGTGTCGGCGTGGGGGGTCGGCGGGCCGTCCTCGTCGTAAAGCCCCGCCAGGGCGACGCGCAGGATCGAGTCGGACGACACGACCGTCGTGGAGCTGCGCTGCACCATGGTCACGTCGTAGCCGTTCTCGTGCAGGTCGTGCGCGATGTCGTGGCCCGAGTTGCACGACCCGACCACGACTGCCTTTTTGCCCGTCCCGTCTTGTCGCGCGCCTGGGAACTGCGAGCTGTGGCAGAGACGGTCGCCCTGGAACGAATCCATGCCCTTGATGGCGGGGAGGTTCATTGTGCCCGAGTGGCCCGTCGCCATGATGACGTGGCGCGGGCGCAGGGTGCGCGTCTCGACGGCCGCGCCGCCGGAGGAGCCGCCGGGTTTGGAGCGCTGCAGCGTCAGGGTCCAGCGGCCCGCGGCGTCGTCCCAGGCCGACGAGGTCAGGGTGGTCGAGTTCCACACGTCGAGCTCGAGCAGGCCGGCGTAGGCCTCGAGGAAGTCGGCCATCTTGTCCTTGGGCGTAAAAACGGGCCAGAAGTCCGGGAACGGCACGTAGGGCATGTGGTCATACCAGACCGGGTCGTGCAGCACGAGCTGGTGGTAGCGCCCGCGCCAGCTGTCGCCGACGCGCGCCGCCTTGTCGATCAGTAGCGTCTTGACGTTGAGCATCTTGAGCCGGGCGGCGACGGCCAGGCCGGCCTGGCCAGCACCTGGGAGAATCAAGCCGTTTAGCGTCCATCGACGACTTTCTTTGTATGTGTGGCTCATTCGGGGCTGGGGGCTTACCGATAATGACCACCGCGGGCTCGGCATCAGCACACTCGATGCTCTCCGCGCGCCGGTCCTTCCAGTTCTTGCCGGACCGCAGCGCGGCGTGCTCGGCACCCTTCTCGCGGCGGTGGCGCAGCGGCTCCTCGAAGCCCCTGAGCTCGCGCAGGGTGACGAACAGCGTGAAAATGTGCCACGCGCCGCCGCCGGCCTCGACCAGGCGCACGACACCGTCGGCGGACCCCAGGGCCGTCTCGGCGTCGACAAAGAACTGCAGGCACAGCACCTTGCCGAAGCCGTCGACGGGGAACGGCTGCGGTGCGCGTATGCCGGCCGGGTCGCCGGCGACCGTGAGCCTGGTCAGCCCACTGCTGCTGGAGCCGGCGGCAAAGGCCTTGATGGCGTCGCGGCCCTTGAGGGTGCGCAGGTCCCACGATGAGCACAGGTGGTCGCGCCAGTAGCCGTCCGGGGCAAATAGCGAGGCCAGGGCGTCGTGGTCCTTGGAGGCGAGGGCATCGTTGAAGCGCCGGACGAGGTCGCCGGCTATCTTGGCGGGATCGGCCGGCGTTGATGTGAGAGTAGGAGGGTAGGGGCGGGGCGGGATGGTGGCAGAGCCGAACTCGATGCGCTCGTCGGTGGGGAAGTCTGCCACTACGGCGGCTGCCATGGTGTGTGAGGGGGGGCGGGTTTCTGGGGTGGACAGTAGCGGGCAGCAGCGGAATGCAGGGACTGGCTGGGGTCAGTAGACAGTGAGAGGCCGGGGTGTCTCGGCCATAAGTAAGAGGTAAGGTACCAGCTATCTATCTTCAGACCCCCAAGGTTAGGATCCACCCCCGCAAAGCCCGTCACTGGGGAAGCCCCGCCGGGAAGCCGCAACAGGAAATCCCCGTCGCGAACTCTGCCAGTCGGATGCCGTGCCCGGCTGAGTCGCGTCGGACAAGCGGAGGCTTGTGGCCACCCATTGGACCGGGCTCGAGTCCAGTAATGATTGATAGCCCGGCCAGACAGCGGAATGCGGTAAAATATCACTGCACTATATACAAGGAGCTATCTTGAAAACGTCTTCTGTTCCTGTCTGTCTTCTCACAAAGCATCAGCTTGTTTTGTTTGGTCCAGATACGCTGGCTGGAACATGGAGTGATGCCTTGGCGTGTACAGTGTGCTTGGCTGGAAGCTCAAAAACAGCAGCCAGACCCCGCTCGTCGAGGTAAAGCCCGTGGGCCTCACTAAGTTCAAGGCCGATTTCCGGCCGAGCCTGATGCCAAACCAATCCGATTGGACGACACTTTTCTTGACAGCTGAAACGAGGCGCCCTCTGCCGTAATCGGACTTCCTGGCCTGCGCTGTCTGATCCTCTGTCTTTATCCCCTGTTAAGGCCCTGACCTGGTGCTTACGCCAAAGAGGAAACTCCGCCAGCCGCCAGCCCGCACCGCTATGAGCCCCGCCATCAAACATCGAACCCATATCACCTCCTAGGACACTGATGACTCTCAATCGAGGCTGACAAATAGCGCATATCTCACATCTCGCCAGCGGAGCGCACACGCTTGGCGCGGGTTGTGACACTCGACTGCCGGGAGCGGATTCGACGCAGCGGTCAAGATGCTGGGATTTCAACCCACCCATCCATCCATCGGTGGACCAGCCGTGATGAGGACCATTATTCGCCACAGCCAGCAGGGCAGCCCGCCCTCTTTACCCAGCGGTGAGACCGACGTTTACCCGGGCCTGCTGTATGGGCACAGTTGGAGTTGCTGGTTTTACACTCGATATTTAAACTCGCTCGTGCATATTCTGGTTGCTGCTGTCATTTCCTTCTAGTCCCTGTGTCCAGGTTGCAAGAACCGACGACTTGGACAAACCCAACCCTCACAATGGACGTGATGTTGCGCTCGCTGGTCACCATCGAGTCGACACGGGCGCCTCAGCCCCAAGAGCCGGACCGCCCACCCACTCTGCCAGAAAGTGTCGCGCCCAAGAATGGGCTCCCTGGACCGCAGCGACCTGAGCCCATCGAGCTCGAGACAATCACCCCAGGGCCGCCCCCGACGGACGCCCAGGCCGCTCCCCGGGCCGCTGCCGACCGGGACCTGGAGAGGAGCCGCCCGACGACGCCGCGCAGCAGCAACGGCGAGGGCTTCACGGCCGAGGTGCAGGCGACCGTGTGGGAGCCGCACGTGAACCGGTTCCGCATGGCGGCCGTGTCTGTAATCTTCTTCAGCATCGGCCTCTACGACAGCGCCGCCGGCGCGCTGATCCCCTACGTGGAGAAGCACCACTCCATCGGCTACGCCGTCGTCTCGCTCGTCTTCGTCGGCAACGCCCTCGGCTTCATCGCGGGCGCGCCCTTTATCGACTCGCTGCGCCGCCGCGTCGGCCACGCTGGGGTTTTGGCCCTGGCCCAGCTGGTCATGGTGTGCGGCCTCGCGCCTATCGTCTGCTCGCCCCAGACCCCATTCGCCGTTATAGTGGTGGCCTTTTTTCTGGTCGGGTTCAGCATGACCCTCGCCCTGGCCATGGGCAACACCTTCTGCGCCGCCCTGCGCGGCGGCACCGCCCTGCTCGGCGTCCTGCACGGTTCCTACGGCGTCGGCGGCACCGTGGGGCCGCTCATGGCCACCGCCGTCGTCACGAGGTCGGGCGCCAACGCCGAGACGGGCGAGCGCGCTGAGATCTGGTCGCGCTTCTACCTCATCTCGCTCGGCCTGGCCGTCTTCAACGGCTTCTTTGCCTACTGGGCCTTTCGCGGCTACGAAGCCGACTCGCCCCACCCCGGCAACGATGGCAACAACAACAACAGCACGAGCGGCAGTGCCGCCCTGGCCGGGGCGCTGCGCAACCGCGTCGTGCTGCTCGGCGCCCTCTTCATCTTCGCCTACCAGGGCGCCGAGGTCTCCATCAGCGGCTGGGTCATCTCGTTCCTGATCGCGGCCCGCGGCGGCGACCCGGCCTCGGTCGGCTACGTCACGTCGGGCTTCTGGGTCGGCATCACGCTCGGCCGCCTGCTGCTGTCCGGGCCGGGGGCCAGCCGCTTCGGCGAGCGCCGCTTCGTCTACGCCCTCGCCGTGGGCGCCGCCGTCTTCGAGGCCCTGGTGTGGGCCGTGCCCAACGTCATCGGGAACGCCGTGGCCGTGGCCTTTGTCGGCCTGCTGCTCGGCCCCGTCTACCCCTGCGCCGTCTCCGTCTTCATGCGGTCCATGGACCGCGCCGAGCGCTTCGGCGGGCTTGGTGTCATCACCGCCTTTGGCAGCTCCGGCGGTGCCGCCGCGCCCTTCACCACGGGCCTGCTGGCGCAGTTGGCCGGCACGTTTGTGCTGCACCCCATCGTCATTGTGCTTATCGGTGTTATGCTGCTCTGCTGGTGGAGTATTCCGAAGGAAGAGAAACGAACCGAGTAGGCGACGTCGCGTGGCACGATAGCGGTTCGTCTTGTAATGAAGTGAAATGCGGCATGATCTAGGATATACATGTCTAGGTCTCTATATGAATCCGGTTATATATATCTATCCCAATCGCTCAAGCGAAATACCCGGGTCTGTTTGTTACCTTCTAAGCCTCTCCTCGCCGTACCTTGCATGCAACTCAGGCGAACTTTTTGGTAACTTCCTTGACACTCGTCTTGCCCTCCAGGACAGCCTTGACTGTCTCGTGGATGCTGGAGAAGTCGGCAAAGGTGGTGTATGGCACCTTTTCATTCTCACAGTACTGTACCAGGTCTGGTTGTCATTGCCGCCTGTTAGTGTCGTTACTGCGTCTGCACCTCGTCAGAAATAAAACATACCCCGGCCCTCTTTGGCAAAGAGCAGGTCCGTCTCCTTGGCGGCCGACAGGTCCGAGACACCGTCGCCGGCGTAGAACATGATGGGCCTCTGCGGCAGGCTCGAGTACTTTCGGATCTCGATGGACTTGTCGTGGCCAAAGGAGCTGTCGTCGTGGTACACAATCTGCCAGCCACCTTCCTCGTCCAGGCCGGCCTTGCCGGGGCGGGTGGCGACGTCGTTGCTGATGATCTGCATGTCGGCAACGGCGTCGTCGCCGACCAGCTTACGCAGCAGGGCCTCGATGATGGGGCGCATGCCGCCGCTGAGCACGACGACGGGCACGTTGTTCTCGCGGCACCAGACGTAGAAGCGGGCAAAGGCCGGGTCCAGGGTGATGTTGCGCAGCAGCAGGTCGACGCACTGGTCGAAGGGCAGCGACACCGAGTCCAGCATGTCGCTGAAGGCGTCGCGGAAGGCCATGCGGCCCTCGAGCACCTCGTGGCCCACGGCCTTGCGGCGGACTACGCCGTAGCCGACGTTGTCGGTCAGGTAGTCATTGGAGTCCTGGACCGTGATGGTGCCGTCAAAGTCGGTGAAGAAGATGATCTTGGGATCGGTGCGGAGCGCCGGGGTCAGCGTCGTGGTCGAGCCCATGCTGGCCGTGGTTGACGAGGTTGTCGACGGGCGACGGCTGCAAATGAGGTGGGTCTAGCACCAGAAATGGCCAGCTAATTTAGCCCTGTTGGACCGTGGGTGGTGCCTGGCGCCTGTCAAAGCTGACGATGCGGCCTTTCCGAGCAATGCGGGATAGGATTTGGTAGGATTTGGGATCTGGGAGAATGGCGGGGAAGGCAGGTGCAGCTAATCTCAGCTATGGGGGGAAAGGAGGGGCACTACAGAGGGACGGGAGGTGGGAATGTGAACAAGAAAAAAATCTGCGTCAGCAGTTGATCCATAGGCCTCAGCAGAGCCCCTCCGTTCAACTCATCAGTTCGGATTGACGCACCCAAGGCGGGCATGTTGGCTCCCATCCTGTCGGGTCTTCGAAATGCATGGCGCCAGAAGCCCATGTTGGCCTGATTATCAAGCAAACGGCAAACAACCACAAATTTCTCAACGCGTCCACCACTCGCTAATCTTATGAGGAGGAATCAGCTTGACTCTTGTCCCTGCAGCCAGCCGATACGACAAAGCGACGCCAATACTCCATTCCCGCCTGTTCCCCCACAGCTCGCGTCGGCACTGGCTGGACGGCCGGATCCTCCAACGGCTGGGCTTGCTGGCGTTTCCAAGAGCAAACAAAACAAACTAGCAAAACAACAAACCGACAACCAGACCTCAAACCATGCACACTCATCAATCAATGCCTAGCCAGGGCCTCGAGAGTTTGGCAAGGAGAAATGGCAGACTGACACGTACGCTCGGGGCGGCCCGCCAGGGAACCAGACACAATCACAAAACCCCCAGCTTTCCCCGCCCGGATGCAGTCCAGATGCAGGGCCCTGCATAACCACGCCACATGCCAATTTGCCACCGCACAGGTACCTTCTTCACATCTCGTGTTACCTCGCTTACTGTCAATGCTACTATTGCTCCAGCGCCTCTAGCTGCCTTTGCTCACCATTGGCAGTCAATGTTGATGCAGAGGCACCAGCCAGCACAAGCCGCCCTCCAAGACGCAGACAGAAACTGATATATCAGCCATCCCCAACGGCTGTGGTGGGCAGGCCGTGGATCGTCGGATCCGCGGACGGTCAGCGCTTGCCTCTGCCTGAGGATCAACGACTTTGGTGTGCGATAGAGCTGCCACGCGAGCGCAGTAGCGTGGTGCCTGAAACCCGGGACGGCAGCGGGCGATGCGGGCCAAGAGCGAGCGAGGAAACGCAGCGACCTTGAAAATAAGCTTGTTCGTCACGCTAGCGTCCCAGACCGTTTGCAGGGCGTGAAGCCCCAAAGTCAAATCATCCTTCCCCCATGGCAACGCTCTCCCTCTACCCGTGATCAACCTTTCCCATCCCTACCTCTCCCCAAGCCACCACAGCCTCGCGTTTCTGTGCTTGCCATCTTCGCCTTTTTCAGGCTTTCCACTCCAATCCTGAGACCTAGGGGCGCCATCCACGTGGCCCCTGGCGGACCGATGTGTGATGGCTCAAACTTGTACAAAACAGCACTAGTACTTCCTTGGCAACACCACAGCTTTTCACATGCTGGCCATCAGGCTTGCAGTTAGGCTTGCAGTCAGGCTTGCACCAATGCACTGTCCCAAATGTTATAGGCGCTAGGAAGGGCGGCAGCCCGGGGCTTCGATGCCGTATTAAAGTTCAGACTGACTCGCCCCTAAGAGCCACAGAAACATCCAGAGTAGCCCTGGCGGTGGAGAACACCCCAACATCTTGTCTGACCCTCGTTACCGTTGTTTATCCAAGATTTCTCTCCCCCTTATCGCGGCCATATTAATGAAAGCGGCCCTGCCCGCACCACGTCGGGTCTTCTGAGATGCTGTTCTGCCAGCTCCCGTCTGACGTGCAACTGAGCAAGATGCCACCCATCAACGGCAACAGGAAGGACCTCCAGGCCGTCTTCGGCCTGCAACTCAACACCGACGGCGCGCCCACGAGCAGATATGAACGGCGGGGGCCTGTCGGCCGTCTGCCCCCAGATTTCCTGACGCCAATCGGGACCAGGGCTCAGAACTACCTCCACTCAGACACGGCGTCCACGAAGTCCATTCTTGGCGGATCCCGCGATGGCGACGACAACTCGGCGCCGCAAGACGCGCACCTCTCGCGGCTCGGCCTCGAGGTCCAGGCCCGACGCGACATGGGCATCCTCGGCGCCGTCGCCGCGGGCTGGAACATATGCAACAGCTGGGCCGCCGCCATGGCCACGCTCGTCATCTCGGCCAGCCTCGGCGGCCCCACCGCCCTGATCTACGGCATCATGGTCATCTTTGTGCTCGCCGGCTCCAGCGCCCTCAGCATGGCCGAGATCGCGTCGGCCTACCCCACCGCCGGCGGCCAGTACCACTGGACCAGCATCCTGGTCGGCCCCGGCTACATCGGGAAGCCGCTCAGCTATATCTGTGGCGCCCTCAACACTTTTGGCTGGATCGCCACCGCCGCCGGCTTCCTGGCCCCGCTGTCCGACATGGTCCGCGCGCTCGCCGGCTTCCTCGACCCGACCTACGTGGCCGAGGGCTGGCACACCTTCCTGATCTTTCAGATTTGCAACGTTGCCTTTACGGCCTACAACATCTTCCTGATGAAAAGGACGCCATGGATTCACCAACTCGGATGTGCGTACTCAATCCCCCTGCTCTAGGTAGGCGGTTGTCCTGCTGGGTCAAGACCGAAAACCGCTGACAGGGCAACAGTCTTTCTCTCCATTGTCTCCTTCCTCACCATCTTGGTTACATGTCTGGCTCAGTCGGATCCCAAGCAGAGCAGCGAGGTTGTGTGGACCACCTGGGTCAACCGGTCGGGCTGGTCGTCGGACGGGCTCGTGTTCCTGATGGCCCTCTCCAACGCCAACTTTATCTACTCGGGCCTCGACGGCGCCATCCATCTCGCCGAGGAGTGCATAAACCCTGCCGTTGCCGTCCCCGCGGCTCTAATCTCCACCGTCGTCATCGGCTTTGTCACTGCCCTCGCCTTCGTCGTTGCAATGATCTACAGCTATAATGACCTGGATAAGGTGTTGGCAGCTCCGTAAGTCTTGATTATGCCTTTCTGGCTTCTCGATTATTTTCCCACGCATGCATCCCAGCAACCCGAATACAGCTCCTAACCAGCCCCTCACCCCCTCTCTAGACTGCCCGTGCTCGAGATCTGGTACCAGGCCACGCGATCCAAGCCCATCGCGACCGCGTTCCTCATCCTCCTCATCGTCGGCGGCTTCTTCGCCGGCACGGGCTCGCAGCAGACGGCAAGCCGGCTGACGTGGAGCTTCGCGCGCGACGACGCGGTCGTCGGGTCCCGGTTCCTGCGGCGCATGAACTTCCGCTTCGGCGTGCCCGTCAACGCGCTGCTCGTCAACTGCGCCTTCGTCTTCTTGCTCGGCTGCGTCAACCTGGCCTCGTCGGCCGCCTTCACCGCCCTCGTGGCCACGGGCCTGATCCTGCTCCAGTGCAGCTTCGCCATCCCCGCCGCCCTGGTCCTGCGCCGCCGCCTCCTCGGCACCCTGCCCGCCGTGCTGCCCGAGTCGAGGCCGTTCAGGCTGCCGGGCCTGGTCGGGGGGCTGGCCAACTTTCTGTCCATCGCGCTCGCCTTCATATCGCTCGTCTTTTACTCTTTTCCCGTCTCGCTGCCCGTCACCCCTGGAAATATGAGTGAGTTTTTGTGCCTTGTTTCCTCGGGGTTGAGCATAATATCACGAGATCAGCCGGCTAACAGCTCTTGTGCAGATTATGCAAGCGTCGTCATTGCAGTTATGGCCGCGTTGGCCGCTGCCAACTGGGTGTTTCATGCTTCCAGGAATTACCACGGGCCGAAGCTACCGCAATGGTGATTTTTTTCTTTCTTCCTTTGGCTCCTTGGGATTCCTTTTTGGTGTTTCTAGGCGTTTCTCGGATGCAGCATCGCGTCGTGTTCCAATAAAGTTAGAAAGATACCCGCCAATGTTATCGCTTAGGCGCCGCCGCCCAATCACAGTTTTGATCCTTTTGCCTGATGCATGTTTCGCGTGGAAGCGGGGATGTTTGGTGCTCACAACGCGCTGCCATTCATGAGTGCCACCTCCAGCACCGACGGATTCCAGTCAGCGCAGGCATCTCCTTGAGTGCGCATGAAGTTGGTGTTCGCGTGCTTGTCTGAGAGAACGCTAGTGGTTCAACCGACAGGATCAACAGGCCAGGCACGCACCCGCACGTCAGGGCACAGAACCCAAAAGATCAGCGGCCGGGGAGAGCCTTGCCACTGGATTGTCGACGACCGACAACCTATCCACAGGGGGCAACCTCGCACGGCCGCACTTGGGTTTCCCGCGTCACCATGTGTGTCAAGGGGAGAGCTTTGAGTGCGTCACCACGCCTGTCCTTCTCCGGCCTCTTTTATATATATATATATATTTTTTTTACCATCCGACATATTCGCAGGCCCGATGTCCCACACCGGAGATATCTGATGCGGGCAACCGCCAGCAGTGACCACTGCTGAGGCTTACGTATATGCATGCTCGGGGGAGGGGGAAACGCTGACGCGGCCCGATTGCTACGAGCGGAGACGGGGCCCGGCCGCTGGGTCCGCGCCCTCTCCGGAGCCCGCGGGCGTGATGGGTTAGGGTGGGATTTTGCCGTGTTCTGTTCTGCTCTCTGTGGATCGTGTGTGCAATCCCCTACGTCGGCTCATGGCAATGATGGCGGGTTGGCGCCATGGCGGGTTGCTTTCCTTGCGCGTGGGGCCGCGGGCGGCGCGAGAGGGTTTCATGGTGGGTTGTTGGGTTTTGCCGCTCTAGTTTTTTTTGGGGGGGTTTTTTTCTTCTTTTTTTTGCTCGTGTCGGGATTGTCTGTGGACAAGGCGGCCTGGATGGGAATAATTATGTCCTATTTTATAGAAGGAAGGGCTGCGTATGTGTCATGGCCTATTTCCGCATTTTCCGCACTGCTCTTGAGTTTGTTGAAGCTCTGCGGGCTTGCGGGATCAGGATCTACGAAAATACCGGATCAACACAAGGAGGCCCTGGTAGGAGTTAGAGTTGATCTGCCAACGGGGTACACAGCTGGAGCGCAAGATGCGGCGCCTACTCCTACGTTGCCACCCCTGGTTTCACCTGTGGCGACACCCCGATTGCACTGTCATGTCCTTCGGTTCGATCCGCCCAGACCTGCCCTGCGGCTCCCTTGTCCCTGGCCGAGGGAGCTATTCCATTGGCCAATAGGCTGGTGTTTTTACGACTCGACCTCACCTTGAGCGCTCCACTTTTTGTTTCGGCGGGTAGGATCGAGGCTGGGGAGGGGCGATTTCGTTGTTTCCTGTCTGCCGCTGTCGTTGACGTTGGCAGGTTTTCTGGGTTCCGCGGACGGCGCGTTCGGGCTGGACGGGGATCTGGAGACCGGGAGCTGGTGGAGAGGAGAAGGGTTGCATTTCACTTGGTATGAGGAGGCGGTGATGGTCTTGATGCCCTCGGACGGGAATAGGTGCATGAGAGGGGGGACTGCATAGGAAATGGTGATATACTTGAGTTTCTGGAGGGAGAGGTCCAAGCCACGCTGCTCTGTGAGCTGGCCGACTAGGTACAGTATTCTTATCGTGGTCTTTTTTTATCGTGGCGACGGCTCAGCAGCCGCGATGCAGGCACAGCCAAGAACCGCTCCACTAATGCGCCAGCCTTGGCAGCTTGTTGCCGCATTGGGCAATAATACCAGCTCGGCATGTGGCATGGGAGGCGGCTCTTGGAGCCTTCGACCCCCCACGCTTCCACCTCGGGCCCCCAGCAGCACTATCCGCTCCCGCGACAGGTCGCCATCGCGCCCCTTCTCAATAAAAGTCCGTGGCCGTTGCATGTGGAGCCAAGGGCGATCCGCATGGCACTTGACCCAGGCAGGGTGAATGCCGGCTGGCTGTTGCAATTGCCGTTTCATAGCGACGTCGGGTCGAGCTGCTTGCCTGTTTGATCGCGGCCGACCCACGCCTCAAGAATTGTCTCGCGGGCCGACCTTGCCGGCTGGTCTTCGGTAATTTGCCCATGGATTGCGATTGCTTTTGGTGGCCCGTCGAACTTCCATGATGAGGTGCTTCTTTTGGCATTAAAAGTCCGGGTATGCCCCTCCCATCACCCTGTTCTGTTTCCTAGTCTCCTCATTCCATTCATCTTCTCTTGGGCGCTGGTTGTCTTTTTAAGCATTGTCCATCTTTCAGCTTTGCACATATCCTTGTCGGCTTCCTTCTCTCGACTCCATTTCTAGCAGCCATCATGCAGCTTTCCATACTCACCCTCGCGGCCGGACTGGCACCGGTGCTGGCCATTCCTCCGACCGAATTCGGACTCCCAGCCTCGGCCGGCAATGCCCAGCTCAGCGTGGCGTTTACCTTCAACAGACAGACCACCGTGATACAGCCGGCACAGCTGCTAGGAAGCAACAGTGAGTACCGCAACGGACGCATGTCGTACTGTGAATATCACACGCGGTGCTGACACGCCAACCCCTCGCGTTAGTCTCCAGCGCACAGCCCGAGCTGGCCATCGACCCCAAGAGGGTGCCCGCCGCCGCCAACATGAACGGCAACATGGTCGTGTTGATGATCGACCCCGACGCGCCCACGCCCGGGGCCACCAACGGCCGCACCATCCTGCACATGCTGGCCACGGGCGTCCGCCTGAGCGCCGCCAACGGCACGGGCGCCTCCAACAGCAGCGCCGCCCTGCGCGGACAGCGCGCCCTCAACTTTGCGGCCACGCGCCCGCAGGTGCCCTACGCGCCCCCGGCGCCCCCGCCCACATCGTCGGCGCACCGGTACATCCTGTACGCCTTCGCGGAGCCGGCCGGCTTCAGGGTGCCGGCCGCCTTCTCCAACTTCAGCGCGACGAACCGGGCCGGCTTCAACATCCAGAACTTCCTGCGCGACGCCAAGATCAGCAGCGGCGCCGTGGCCGCAAACTACTTTTACGTCTCGCGCCAGACCCAGGTGCCGGGCACCTTCACCGGCCAGCCCGGCGGCACCTTCCCCGGCGGCAACGGCAACGCCATCTTCGCTGGCCGCCAGGGTGGCAACGGCACGCGCGGCCCCGGCCGCGGCAACGGCACCGTGCCCACCATCCCGCGGGCCGAGGCCCCCAGGGCGGCGGCGGCCATGACGGCGCTTCTTGGCGCCGTCGGTTTGGCTGTGAGCTTTGTGGCGCTGGTCTAAGGGGTGGCGCGGCTGCTCAAAATGTCTTGTATTCTTGCTGTAACCTGTTGCTCTGTTTGCGTCGTCTGTTTTCCTTCTGCACCTAGTGTGTTGGGTACCTTGGGAATAGCCGAATATCGATACGTGTAAATCTACAATTTGGACAACTGCTGGTTTCCAGTGCATGCTCATACTTGGTCTAGAGTCAGCTCGTGATGACACGTCAGTCAGTTTCGGGGAGCCGCATGGAGACGCTGGAGATCAGCCAATGTTTGGTAAAGGTGGGAGACGCGACGAGACGCGAACTGGTAGCTGCAACGGCGCTCGGAATTGCCCGCGTATCCTTCCTTCGTCGGGCCATGTCATGGATTCCGCCACGAGGCCTGACGTCAATACTTGCGGAGGGATGCTACCCGAACGCGGTGGCTGGAGGAATGCGCAGGTCCCAGGTCCGAGGATGCATATTCACAGTAAGGGAAGCGACGCCGGCTGATGGGCAGGGAAGGGCCACAGTACCTTTTCCCAGGGATCGTCCGGTGTTTTTCTGGCTGGGCTGATTTGGGGTGCAAACACGACAAGCTTCTGAATGCGGGCACAGGCAGAAACGAATGGTGGAGAAGACACGTGATAAACCACGTCCCCCACTTCCCATTGTTGGCAACAAGCCGCCTCCATTGTCAGATTACTACACCTCCCAAATCCTCCAACGACCAAAAACGGACAACGACGACCCCAAACAAAGCAACAGCATGACATTTGTAGGAAGATTCGGAATCCTGCCGATGCTTCCGCCGCGCTATTGTCCAATGTGTGTCTTGAGACAAGATGCACGAGCACCGCGCTGGCTGCTGCTTACTGCGACAAACGCTCTGTATAAAGCACTCTCGCCCACACCCGACTCTATGTCTGACTCTGTCTTATTCCATCCACAGTCATCAAACCAACAACTCACCCATCTCCAGACACATCTCGCACCGAGTTTCACCAGAAAATCAGACAATAAGCCTCCAGAACCGGTAATCGAGACAGTGCCCGCCGCCGAGTCCTTGACGCGATGCAGCTCGTTTCGTTTGCAGCGTTTCTGCTCGCCGCCGCCCTTCCCGTCATCGCCAAGATGATGCTGGGCGGCGGACTGGGCTCTCAGCTCCCCCTCCTCTCCTCTAGCGTCCGCCGCAGGCTGTCGCAGCGCCGCACCATGGCAGAGCGCGGTGTCTGCGCGTCGCCTCTGGTGTGTCCCAAGACGCCCGTGATGCAGGCCACGCCGGCAATGAGCCAGTCTCCTGCCTTCCGGCCCCAATCCCCTGCCGTCCGCTTCCGGGAGCCGTTCGGCACTTCGTCCCCAGGCGATGACGACGATGTTGATTATGCCAGGCCCGACACTCCCTTCCACACGCCTTTTCTGAGGCCCGAAACACCCTCGCTTACCCCATTTCTGAGGCCGCAGAGCCCTAAATCCCAGCCGCAGACGAGCTCCAACTCGAATATTAACCCAATCACTCGTGGCAGGCGCGTTAGCTATTGGGATAACCCGTACGCGGACCGGAACCCCTCTCACACCGTTGCAGCGGCAGACTCTGGACGGCAGTTAGTGCCGACAATTACCATCCTGGAGGTTCGCGATGGCGTTGTCGTCAAGCGCGAAGTCGAGAAGTCCCTCGATCAGGACACCTCAGACCACCAAAGGTATCCGCGATCTCCATACCCCGCCAAATACCCTCAGTCCCCATTCCTGCCCCAGTACCCCAAGTCGCCGTACCCCTCCAAATACCCGCAGTCTCCCTACCCGGGCGGCACCACGGACCAGACGGCTTTCCCGCCGGTGCGCGAGAGCATGCCCACCGACAGCAGCAACTCGCTCGCGGTGACGGGCCGGGGCGCGGACCTGATCGAGCGGGCGGCGACGTGGGCGGCCGAGCGCGGCGTCGACACCAACGTCGGGCTCGAGGACTTCGAGGAGCGCTCGTACGTGGGCCGCGCCATCCGCAAGCTGCGGGGCACGAGCCGCCGCGAGAGGCAGGAGAGCGCGCGCGCCCAGGTCGTGCGCGAGGCCCGCAAGAACTGGGCCGCCCGCTCGCTCGACGCCACCCACCACTGGGCCGCCAGGGGCCTCGGCGGCACCCACCACCTGGCCCACCGCGGCCTCGAGGGCGTCGAGGCCGTGGGCCGCGGCGCCGCCGACGGGCTGGACGCGGTCCGCAGGGGCGCCGCTGGCGGTCTCGAGGCGGTCGGGCTGGACTCGGTCGGTGGCGCACTGAGGCCGCGTGGCGACAGCCGGTCCGGCGGCCGCGAGGGAGGAGAGCCCTTCCCGCATGCCGAGGACGCTGGTTCACCTTCCTCTTCTTCCTCTTCTTCCTCTAGGCAGAGCTCGCCTTCGCCGCGCCGTCGCGTGCTCCACAAGACGGCTCGCGTCCGGGACGCCGACGACGCCGACCTGTCCTGCATAGTGGCCGAGGTCATGGCGGTGAGCGCGGTCGAGCCGGAGCAACAGAGCGCCGGCAGGCGTTTCAGCCTGAGCATGAAGTCCCTGAAAGACCTGGGGCGGCGCACACGCAGCGGCACCGACAGCTCCACTGGTAGCAGCGCCTCGGATCCCGGCAGCAGGACGCGGAGCGCCAGCGACAGCAGCGGCGAAGAGCGCACCGGCATTAGCTCGAGGCGCGTCTCTCTGCCGTGGAACAAGGCGAAGTAAGGCAGCAAGGTTCTGCTGGGGTCACAGCGGCCCTATCACCTTTTTTTAATTCGCCGGGTGGCGTACATCTTGTGTGATTTGGCCAGCGTCAAGTTACCGAGCGAGGCGAAAGCCATCATTCTCCGATTGCATGTGAACTCAATATCTTTTGCACAAACTTTTTCAGGGGCGCAGGGGCGTTAGGTTAGGGTGTATCGCGGATACCCACCGGTCGTTCTTTGTGTTTTGTTTCCTGGCGTCTTTCCTTTGTTCCATTTGTATCGCATTGCGTTGGTGGCGGCGTCCCTACATGTGTTTACGTATCATTAGTTTTCAAATCATCACTCTTCAAGCGCCCCCTTGTCCACACTTCTCCGCTGCATGATGCGTACGTTTGATAAACCCCTTCGCCTTCCCTCGCTAAACTTGTGCACCCACGCTCAACAACAACCACCCACACCCAACAACAACCAACCCCTCACACAAGATGCACCTCACGGTCCTGACCCCGCTGTGCCTGGCCCTCCCCGTGGCCATGTGCTTCCAGCTGTCCCCAGCGGGACTCGACGGCGTCTACCGGGTGACTGTCAACGGTAACGGCGTGGAGGAGCACCACAGACTCGGCGATGTCACGGGCTGGACGGTCGGCGGCGGCCAAATGCACGGGCGGCGGTGGCAGCAGCGGAGCGGCGGCAAAATACCATCTCGGAGGCGAGAAGTTGGCCCGTCAACGACCTCAGCCACTTGGGACACGACCGAGTCTGGTGATGATGGCTTCGACATCACCATCACCGATAGCGCTATCACTGACGACACTGTCACCACCAACACTACCAACAACACCATCACCACCAACACCACCACCAACATCACCATCTCAGCCAACAATACAATCAACGCCACCAGCGCCGCCACTCACACCAGGACCATGAGCGACGGGACCAGCATGACGACCACCAAGCCGACCGGGGACGCCTCCCTGCTCTTTGACTGGACGCGCGGCGTCTACTGGCGGCTGTTCGACTTGGAGGGCACGTGGGAGTGCAAGACCATGTCGCCGCCGACGCGGTCGCTCAACGCCACGCTCGTCGCGCAGGCGTACGCGGGACTGGACGCGCAGTGCGACCGCAGCGGCGCGCGCGGCAGGCCCATGGCGCAGCCCGTCAAGCCGAAGCACCACTTCTACGCCCGCAGCGAGAACGTCGTCGCCTTCTTCTGCAACTTCGCCCAGGCCCCCATGAGCCCGACCCCGATCTGGTGCGACGACTTTGACCGCATCTCCTTCACGCGCGGTCTGGCCCGCCGCTGCGGCATCGACAGGCCCGGCTGGGTCACCTTCCATGCCGAGACCGTCACGCTCTCGTACGGGCTCGACGAGGTCGACCACACAAAGACGTTTTGCGCCGAGTCCCACCACTGAAGGGGTGACGGCGGCCGAGGAAGGGAGTTTATTGGATGGTTTTGCTGTCGTTCTTTTTTTTCTTTTTTTTTCTTTTTCGTTGTTGAGATCATGCTGGGTCGACGATCGGGCCGAGGGGGCGAGGAAGACGAGGGGCAAGTGAATCCATCATGTAATCCATAATGGCCTTGCAGCCACGCCCTAACAACATGACGAGAAAACTACAAAACCAAAGCCCAGTTGATGACTGCACCCCCAGTCATTATTTTCAAGACCGCCCCTCCTAGAAATAAAAACCCTTCATTCCCTGCCCGGCTGGCTGCGCATCCCCGGTGACGAAACCTGCCTGCTCCCAGACAGGACCCCACACGAGCAGCCCAGGCCAAGCACCACAATCAATGCTCCCCTCCCTCCCGCTCCTCCCACTCCTCGCCATCGCCCAGGGTGGCGCGACCCTGCGCGCCCCCGCTGGCATCCCCGACGGCGCCTACGAGCTGACGGACGGCCCGCGCGGCAGGACCGCCTACCGCTCCCTGTCGGGCCTCCTCGCGGCGACCCCCGCGAGCATCGCAGGCCGCCGCGGCGGTGGCGTGGACCTGGCCACCCTCGGGGCGAGCAGCAGCACCCCGACCAAGCCCAAGCGCAAGGGCAAGGGCAAGCCCGCCGCGGTGGCCGCCGTCCCCACCGTGACCGTGACGGCGGCCGCCGTCATCGCGCAGGCCAACATCGGCATCAGCAACAGCAACAACTCCCCGGCCCCGCCACAGCAGGTCGGGGTGCCCTTCGTCCCCGTCGGGGGCGTGGTGCCGGGCTTCCAGCAGGAGCAACAGCAGGAGCAACAGGTGGCGGCCGAGGAGCTCGTCGAGGAGGTCGAGGAGGTGCCCTCGGACGCGCGCAAGCTCACGTCCCTCGTCCCGCGGCCCAAGAACGAGGGCAGCAGGCAGTGGCCCAAGCCCTTCCCGGCCGTCAAGCTGCAGTGCCGGGCGCGGGAGGAGCCCAAGGTGGTCGGCTTCATGCCCTCGGACGAGCGCAAGGGCCGCGAGGCCCTCAACGCGTACTGCAGCTCGGGCAGCCAGGTCAAGCACAGGGGCTCGCTGATGCTCAAGATGGCCACGGCCCAGGTCTACGTCTGCAACACGGCCTTTAGCGGCCACCAGGGCTGCGACGTCGACGAGTACGACTACGTCATGAGCCTGCTCGACACCTACTGCGGCCCCGGCCAGGCAGGCAACGGCTGGTTCCCCGACTGGGCAAAGACTTATGGCCGCGACAGGGAAGGCCAGGATATGTGCTGGGGTTTCGATAAGCAGGGCAGGTAGAGAGATGGAGCTTATTGCCGGGGGCGTTGGGGTAGCAAAGGGTAAGGGAGCAAAACGTCTTTTTTTTCGTGTAAGCACGCCCGCCACCAAAACAATGGTATATACCTTTAGGAATAAAACAGGAATAAAAACAAAAACCCTAAAGCACTAAAATTCGGTTTAAACCTTTGGAACGGGCTGCAAGACTGCCGCTTTCTTGATGGCACACTTCCCTCTCGGGTTAAGCCTTTCTACGCTACCACGCGCATGCTTTGGGTAATGGATACATCGCTCTCCTTCGGCTCCGAGTCATCCTTGTCCTGAATGCTGTACAGCAGATAAGGGTCGCGTCCGCCCCCAGACCGCTCCCTGCCGGCCTTTTGCGGCTGCTCGCCGGGCCCGATATGCCAGCGCGAGCCCCCGATGGTCTCCAGGTCGGCGCCGCCCGGCCATCCCCCATCTCCGGGTGGCGGCGGCGCGGAAAAGAGCACGCCGAGCCCCAGGCGCGGCAGATAAGCCCTCGCGTGCGGCTTGAGACGCATGGCGCACGCGCACAGGATGCCCAGGTTGACCTCGACGACAGACCAAAGCCCCAGCACGGCCTCGGCCCACGTCAGGTCCTCCTCTAGCAGGCCCGCTTGGTATTGCTGCCGCTGCCCCGCCCAGCCGGACCCGCGCCTCGTGCGGACGACGTATTGCAAGCGCACGATGGAGTACACGACGACGGCGGACCCGAGCGCGAGGATCAAGCCGACCGAGAGGCGCTGGCAGAGCGATAGGCCGAGCGAGTGCACGGTCGGGATGGGGGCGGCGACGACGGCGAGGTCCGAGGCGATGTTGAGCACGGCGTGCACGAGGGCCACGTCCGACACGCACGCCACGGCCGCCGCGTCCAGGGAGCCGCACGGCCCGGCGGCCACAGCGCAGGCCACGACAGTGTAGGTGAGGATGGCGAAGCCGATGGTGGCCACGCGACGGGTTGATGCGGTACAGCACGCACAGGATGGCCATCTTAGTCACGGATAGGCAGACGAAGTAGGCCAGCGTGCTTACGAGGATGCCCTGGGGCTGCGGTGTCAGAAGGAGAGGTGTTTCGTTACTCTAGACGGGGAGTAGTGCCACGCTACCTTTTTGAGCTCGATAACGTCGGCCAAGGACACATCCCAAAGGTGTCAACCCCAGCCGTTGTCCATCACTATCATGGCCAGTTAGATTCACTGTCAGAGGGGTGTTGTTATGGATGAACACCCACGTTTGGTCGTGGAGCCAAAGTAAAACAAGGCGATGGCGTAGGCAGATGTGATGATGACTAGGCGTGATCTTCGGTTAGCGATGGGTATTTCTTGTCTTGAACAGGATGACGCTAATTACCGAGACCTAGCTCCATCTTCTTGGAGATCTTGATGGCCTGGAAGTAGCGGAAGCATAGGAAAAGCGTGGCCAGCCCGTACGAAATCCCAAACGAAGCAAAGATGCCGACCTGCACCGACGTGTGCGGCTGCGCTGAGCTGGGGTCATCGAACCGCGATGTCTGGCCGCTGGGCGGCGATATGCCGGGATCTGGGAGAAACTTGCGACTAAAGTCATCTCGAGATGAATATTTGAGGCGGGCTCGTTGTTCTCGCCGGCTTCTCGTCTGGGAGACGGGCGCGAGGCCCAGCATGGTCGAGGGGGACGCCATGGAGGTCGGAAAATAAATATGCAAGAAATGACACGAGACTGACAAAAGAAAAAGCAAGGAAGAAAGAAATACCTTCTGTCTTTGGTTTTATATCCCATGCACTTGTGATGCCGCCCCTGCGAGGCCTGTCACACATGACTGTCAGCAACATCAAACGTCCAAGTCCGTACTGGCGATATGTCCATAGCGAATAGGCCTCTCCCCGTGGGCGACCGCCAAGATTTAACAGATTTAGAGTATACCCGCCACGGTGGAACAATGCAACCAACGGCGCCTGCATGGATTGCTTGGCCCGACGTGGGGGTGTTCGGGGAAAAGAAAGACGTGCCGCGACGCCGCGCCAGCCACCCGTTTGGATCGCGGATGGTGTCGTCGCGCCGCGCGGGGTGCCGGCTGATCAGCCAAATCATGTTCCTTGCGCCGTGACGCAGAAACCGCGGTAGCGCCGAGTGCAACGGCGTCATGGCAGGAGGAAAAGCAAGGGGTAAGGGGGTGGTCGAAGGTGGTATAGGAAGGGTGATGATGAGAGTTGGACCGTTTGGTGTTTATTTCCATCCTTGCTGCGGGAGGGAGCGAATAAATGGATTGGATTTCATGTGAAGGGCTTCCGGAAAGAGGATTCGCGGGATCAAGGCGATGCCAAGCAGCAAACCACTGGTTACCATGAAGAAAAGCAAGTATGGTGGGATCCCTGAGTGGGGGGAGGGACAGAGCGGCATCACGAACAGGTAACGTATGATGGGAAGAGCAGGAAAAGGAATAGAAAATTGACGAAAAGAAAAAGCCCATCAAATATTTCGATGGAATACTCGAATGGCAGTGGTTGGAGGGCGTTTGCTTCGGAAGAATCTCCATGGCAATGCAAAGGAGGCCCAGAACCTAGCTCAATGCATGCTGGCAAAGGGGTCGCAAAATGCCCCGCTAATCTCTTCGAGGGAGCGGCCCTTACTCTCGGACAGCCACGGCCAGACGGCGGCGACCGAAACGAGGCTGCAGGCGATGAAGATGCCCGAGGTGTATTTTCAGAGCAGGGAGCCAATGTAGGCTGCTGGGCAAGTGGAAGCAAACCTGGCGCCAGGGACTGTGTGCTGCTTGACTGGTACCTACTGCAGAGGCATAAAATGATCATCATCTTGACAATGAGCCCGACACACGTGTTGCGCCCATCATCCAAGTCACACTCGTCTGTGCAGGCCAGCCTTCCCCTGCGGGGAAATGGGTGTTCGTCCTTGACTTGCAGTGATACTCTCGGGCGGGATCTTCCGATTGATTCCATGTGTTCGCGCGGGGGATGGTAGCATTCAACCGTCGGATCTTTTCCTCTATCAACCCCATCGGTCCATGTTTGGAGCGGCTGTCGCATCGCGAGATGCTACACGCTAGACTTGTTAATGGGACCTTGACGGAAACACCGCCGCTGCTCACCGGCTCAGCGAGTGTTGCCGGTTCCTATTTACCCGACCCATCCGGCCGTCTCATTCCATCAACCACAACCCACAGGTGGTTCTCCTCGGAAGCTTGTGCAAAAGCGGTATCGGTCCAACACGGACCCGACCAGAACGGCGTGGTCCTTCCTGCCTGACCAGTAGCGGCCTTTGCGCCCGATGGCATAGTCTACAATGACCGTCGACGCTGTCTGGGGCAGGGGGTGGCGGTGCCTCGCCTTGATATACTGGAGGCAGCAGACGCCCATCTCCATCAGAGGGCCGCCGGCATTCTCAGCCTCGAGCGAGAGGTGGAAGGCGTCGCGACGGATTCCTATCAAGTTTCGCGCGCAGCTCATGCGGCGGCGGTGGTCCCCAGGCTGCAAACCCGACGCCGCGGCCGTGGGTGAACTTCATATTGGGCGGTGCTGACTAGCGCTTGTGCCTAAGCTATGGCAGCACGAGCAGAGGGATACTAGCCGAATTTGCTCCTAGAGGTTGCGGGTTCGACTCCGACTGCGAGCCAGACGCAACCATCCCCTCACTGCAATATCCGACGGATGCCAAAACCCCAGATGCCAAGTCCAAAAGGCTACCCCGCGAGTTCCTGGAAACGGCACGGAACGTGAATATGTTGCACTAGCTACTGCCGGTAGAAATCTGGAAGAGGCCGAGTGTAGCAGTGAGGGGTATTTGTGGGTGCAGCCGATCGATTTGCCCTGTGCTGGATTGATGGTGCCTTCCGTAATTGGTGCTTGATATTTTCCCTTTCCGGTATTTGTTAGCCCGTGCCCTTCTCTCCTCCTTTTCAAGCCGGGAAAATCTATCCATTCTGCTCTAGCTACCCCCAAAGCCCTTACGTGATGTGCGGGTAAGGATGGCCGTTGCATGCGAAAATCACTATATAAACATCGTGTTGCACACTGCAATTTGACGTGCGTAAGGGGTATGTCACTGTGTCAGAAACAAGGCTCTTCGTTTCCTGGTATACAAGTTTCTTGACGACGGACAAGATGGGGTTCCGCCTGTCACTTGGCCTCCCTACCCTTGTAGGGCTGATGCAGCTTGTTGCCGCGGCAGACATCTACGTCTCACCCACTGGCTCTGACAATGCGGACGGCTCCAAGGGGTCCCCCTTCAAGACCTTGGTTAAGGCCCAGCTTGCCGTGAGGTCCTTGGCCACCCCGTCGATGCGCGAGGATGTCACCGTTCACCTGAGCGGCGGCGTCCACTCCCTGGCCGCGCCCCTGGTTTTCACCTCGGCCGACTCGGGAAAGAACGGACGCACGGTCCACTGGACAGCAGACGGCACCGACACCACCGTCTCGGGCGGCATCAAGCTGACGGGCTGGACGGCGGGGCAGAACGGCGTCTGGTCGGCCGCCGTCCCGGCCGGCACCAAGAGCCGCAACCTGTACGTGCGCGGCCAGGCGTCCAACTACGCGCGCCGCAAGATCGCCAACCGCAAGGAGTTCACCTACAACGCCAACGGCATGAGCTGGAGCGACGGCAAGTACGACTGGCTGCAGTCGACCGAGGGCCTCGCGGGCGCCGAGGTGCGCTTCATCAGCTCCTTCACGGACCGGTACGCGCCCATCGAGTCCGTGGGGCAGCGCCAGCTGGTGATGAGGAAGCCGAGCTGGACGAACAACATCATGGGCTACGACACGCTCAACAATCCCAATGCCGACTTTGGCGTCTGGGTACAGGGCGCCCGCGCCCTGTTGACCGAGGGCGGCCAATTCCATCTGGACTCGGCTGCTGGGAGGGTTTACTACAAGCCGTTGAGGGAGGAAGAGGGCAGTATGTCGTCTATTGATGCGTACCTGGGAGTCCTGGAGGTCCTCGTCGCCGTGAGCGGCAAGTACGGCGACCCGGCCCACGACATTCGATTTTCTGGCATCAATTTTGTAAGTTCCACTGATTCAGCGTCCGTTCAGCGTCCACTCTCCGTCATTCCCCGAGCCAACTGCTCATAATCATCTCCATCCAGGCCCACTCCACCTGGCTCGCCCCCAGCACCATCGGCTACGTCGACCAGCAGACGGGCGGCCACATCGCCGAGCAAAAGACGTACCCCAACTTCGAGGCGGCGCGGCCGGGGTGGCACCAGATGCCGTCGGCCGTCCAGGTCAGCGCCGCGTCCAACATCACCTTCGTCGGCGGCTCCTACACGCAGATGGGCGGCGGCGGCGTGGGGCTCGGCAACGACGCCAACGCGCACCTGACGGGCGTCGGGCTGGGCGCCCAGAGCGTCTCGGTCACCGACGGCTACTTCTCGCAGATCATGGGCAACAGCATCACGGCCGGCGGCGTGCGCGCCGACGCCCACCACCCGCCCAACGCGGCCGCCATGACCAACTCGCGCATCACCATCGCCGACAACGTCTTCCGCAACGTCTCGGCCCTGTACAGCAGCACCGTGCCCATCTTCGTGTCGTACGTGCGCGACTCGGCCGTGAGCCACAACGACATCTTCCAGGCCCCCTACTCGGGCATCTGCCACGGCTACGGCTGGGGCAGCAACGACGCCGGCGGCTCGCCCGAGTACGTCAAGCGCGGCCTGTACAACTACCAGCCCCAGTACAGCACGCCCACCGTCTCGCAAAACAACCGCATCGAGGCCAACCTGCTGCACCAGTACGGCCTCTCGCACACGGACCTGGGCGCGCTCTACACGCTCAGCAAGTCGCCCGGCTCGTCCGTCGATGAGAACTACGCCTACGACTCGAACGGCTTCGGCGTCTACAACGACGAGGGCAGCAACAGCTATGCCGTGCGCCGCAACGTGCTGCTCTGCACCGGCATCTGGCGCGCCACCAACGGCGTCAACACGGCCAACAACGCCTTCGCCGACAACTGGGGCCGCGTCGGCTCCGTGAGCGGCTCGGACCGCTCGGCCTCGAACCTGCAGCAGACCTCGGCCGCGGCACAGCGCGTCGCCTACCGCGCCGGCGTGCGCCCGTCCAAGCGTGCTGGGCGGTCTGTCTCCAACGACCCGGGCGTCGCCGACGGGTACCTGGGCTCGTCGTGCTCCGGCAGCGGCGACCTGACGCTGACGCTGTGGAACTACGACGACAGTCCGTTCACGGGGGTTTCGTTTGCCGTGCGCGCCAACAACGGGGCCCAGATCTCGCCTTCTGGCGGCGCGTCCCCCGCCACGGTGGGCGCCGACACCTGGGTCCAGGCAAAATTCCGCGTGGCCAGCGGCGGGTGCGGGGCCGTGGCGGGCTCGTCGGCGTCGTATACCAACTCGCGCACCGGGGCAAAGGCGACCCGGAATGGCGTGAACGCCACTCCGCCGTCGGGGTCTCCACCTGCGCCTGGGACTGGAGGGGCCGGTGGTATCGTATAGGACCGAGGTTGTTGGTAGCGAAAGGCATGCCATGTTGGTACCAGTCAAGATAGCCACTTAGATGAGTCTTTATAGGCCGGCTCGATGCCAGGCTCAGAAATATCCACGCTTATTACTGCATCACCTCTCTAGACTCGAGGCGAAATGCACGCTCCCCTGCTTTGCGTCCAACGAGGTTTTGAAGGGAAACATTTCTTTTGTTTCCAACACAGAATAAGCCATCCAAGGCAGAGCGTTGGGCTGATTGGCGAGCCTGCTTCAGCCCAATCTGTTGCGCGGATGCCTAAATGCAGGTGTGCCCAACCCGAGATGTCCTGGAGAAGGCAAAGTGAAGAAGCACGAGGCCGGTCTTCACCCCACCGGCAAAGGGGAAACGTATTAGTATCAACCAGGGCATCGGCCGCCCCCGCCACAGAACCAACCCCGAAGCTGCGCGAGGAAGCAAGCAGCCTCCCTTCAAGATGAGCCGATGGCACGCGCCTGGTTGTGCTGGGGGAGACGAGAATATTCTAGTCAATCCAAACGGCCTCCCCCACTGCCAGAGCTGCAAATCGACTCCAGATATCCCAAGGCTTCTCACACAGCAGGATACAGGGCTTGCGAATTTGCAGGTCCCGCCAGACGAACCGCCTGGCCAGCTCAACCTTTCGTGGCCGCCCACCGTTCCATATTCGAAATCAGGACAGATTTGCGATGCCACCCGTTCCGTCTCTAGCATCCATGCACTCTTCGAGGCGGGCACTGGCACCAGCACCAGCACCAGCGCTGACAGCAACAGCCATCCAGTGTCGGCAGCTCCAAATACCACACGTAACGAGCCTTTATCGCCGGTTTACCCAGAGGCCCTACGCCATGACGAGTTCCGACTGCTGGTCCTCGACTCCCGCAACACGCCTGCGCACGCCGACGAGGCAACCCATGACTGGCCAGTGCACATGGATCTCGAGACGTACCGCGACAACGATCACCCAGAGTACGAGACAGTTTCCTACACCTGGGGCGGAGAGAATGACGACAGCTCTCCAAGCCAGCCGGTCTACGTAGGGCCGTGCTGGGATGCGCTCCTCCAGACCAAGAATTGTCACGACATGCTCCGGCTGCTCCGGCCAAGGCGAGGTCTTCGTTTTCTCTGGGTCGATGCCATCTGCATCAATCAGAACGACCCAGACGAGCGAGCTCACCAGGTTTCCAAGATGCAAATCATTTACAGCAATGCCTGGCGTTGTTTTGTGTATCTGGGCTCAGATGTTGTTACCCCAGTTCCGAACCGGTCATTCTACCCGGCTAGGAGGCGTTTTGAGGATCTCGCCAGATCGGAGGAAGGGGAGAGATTGGTCTTTCCAGATCTGAGTTTCCGGCAGGTGCTCGAGCGAAGATACTTCAGTCGGATTTGGGTCATCCAAGAGCTGCTCCTTTCCAAGTCAATTTGCGTCCGCGTTCGAGACATGGAGCTGCTCATTGACCGCCCCACGCAGTCTGACCTCCTCGACGACGGCCAGAGCAGCAAGGAGAGGGGCGGGACGGACTACTGGGGCGCTACAAAAGCACCCTGGATGGCACAGGCTACCCGAGGAATTGTCCCCGATCCGGTCGCGCTCCTGCAAATGGTTCGATTATCCAGCGCCAGCGACCCACGGGACGAGATTTTCGGCATCATCGGCTTACTCCGCCCTTCCCTGTCTTTGATACCCGATTACTCGCTCAGCCTCCTCCGAGCCCACGTCGGCTTTGCCGGTCATATCCTGCTCAACGGAAATACGCCCGAGGCCCTTCTTCATCCCGGGCCTCGACATAGGGGTCAGCGCCCTTCCTGGGTGCCGTGGCCTTTGCCCAAGGATACTCCATGGCGCCGTCGAACTCCCGAAATGGACAGCTCGTGGGAGGGAATCCTGGGAAGATTCTATCGGGGACTAAATGCCAGTAATTCACTCGACCTCCTCGACGACAACTACCTCCCCGACGGCATCCGCCAAGGCGTGCACAGAAGCGGCCACGCAGCCAACTGCCCGACTTGGCGGGAAGGAAAGTATTGGCGAGCGGGCGCCCATATCGACGCAGCCAATGGCTCTCTGAGCATTCGACTTGTCCATTTGATGCCGCTGCGGCGCATGCCAGTCCAGATCGGGCGCGAGGATGGTTTTACCATCATGAGGCTAGAGGCTCACAGCACGTACGTCTGGGCCGAGGATGCGCCTTGTCGCTGGGAGTTCTCGCTCGTATTCCAAGATTCGCCCCATGGTCTAGACCTCAGGCCCGGTGTGGACCATGTATTCATACTGCATGGCAAATCACAGGAAGCCGGGCCACAGTTCATTATATTGCGCCCACTACGAGACACGCCACTTAGCTTCCGCCTGGTCGCCTGCTGCCATCGAGCATTCATCTGCGTCATGCGTAAAAGTGGCCTCTACGCAAATCATTATGAACAAGAGCAGGCTATAAGAGGTAGATCAAGTCTCTCAATCGCCGGCCTGCGAAGAGACCTGATACCGTTTTTACAAACCTCGCGGTTGCGTAACATGATATACAACTGCCGGCCGCACTTCATCTCGGAAGATCTATTGCATCGCTCGGTTTGGTTGGCTTGTTTGATATACCACGGGCACAAGATGCCGCCAGCCTTTCCCCTCGACCCTCCGTTAGGGGGCCTGAAGCTCGGCACTGTCATGTGCGCATTGAAAACGGCTCTGGACATAGCGCTAGGTGCCGACTTGGAACCCAAGTTCCTCAACTTCGAGGGTCAGGATTGCATTGAGCTACATGTGTTGCACTCCAACATGCATGAGTTCGATGCTCGAGCTATCGTTGAAAGCCTCTTCCAAGCCGTACAAGAAAGGCTGTCCGGGCCAAGCATACCTGAAGAACGACCGGTCCCGGTCCCGATCCCGAAGGCACACTTCTGGCGTAGGGGGGACATATGGACACTTGGCCATGAGCCGCCAAAAGTCTATACTGACATTCACACCAGCCCGGTGGGGGATGTGTTGATGATCGTCAACGATATGCTCTACTCCGAGAGTAGAGACATGACCTCTCTCTATCTTCTGTTCCCAGTCGAGAAGGACACCAGGGCTTACATCCAAGATAATCAGAAGCTCCAGCTTAAAGTATTATATCATATCGGGCGCGACAGACGGCTGGAAACAAGGAAAGGTCCGAAAGACGCCCTAAGCACGGCTCTCGAGTTGATGAAACCCGGGGCTAGCGAGGGACCAGTCTGCCACGGTGAGGCCGAAACTCGTCCCGAACATATACTCGCAGCTCCTCTATGGCCAAGGGACCTTGTGGAGGCTTTCGGCATCGATGGGAGCACCTATCAAGTGACCATCACTTGAGAGGCCGGGTTAAAGATGGAGAGAATGGAGAATGGTGTTGGGACTTTTGCTTGTATGGATACCTTCCAAACCCATCATGTCGAAATACGACCAATTTGTTTGTGTCCAAATCCGCTTGTCTCGCTATCTTACACGGAAGCAACAGATCAAGAAGTAACACTGAAAGAAGCCAAGCCATCAAAGCTCCACTGCCATATCCCAAGCCTCGACGGCGGCCTCGACGATGGGCCGAATGATCTTCCTTCCGGCGTTCTTGCCCTCGTAGGTCCACACCATCTGCCTCCTCCCCAGCTCGCTGACCCTATGCCACGGCTTGGCCTGGAGCTCAGGGTGGCTTTCGATGGCGCGCTTGACAGTGTCGAAGAGGTCGTCGGCCTGGTTGTTGTTGATGCGGACGTCGCTGCGGACGCACAGGACGAGCTCCCTGATCTTCTTCTTCTTTCCGTTCTCGTCCTCACCCTTGTACCTGTTTACTGTCGGGCTGTTAGTACCAATTTCCACCTCGTGATTTGGGGGCGAGAAAATGCCTTACGAGCAACACTGATATCTGCCCCGACTTGCGCCGTCCACGCAGCCTCGATGGCAAACCAGTCAAACAGCTCGCCAAAGCCGGTCCGGGTGATCTGCTCGTCGAGCGAGTAGGGGATGGAGGAGAAGCCCAGGCTGACGGTCGGGGTGCGGGGCGAGTACGTGTCGACGAGGTCGCCCTTCCAGTCGCGCCTCAGCAGGTCCCGGACGCCGAGCTCGCCGAGGTCCTTCTTGGCCTCGCCCAGCTTGCCGTCGAGCGACTGCATCTTGTCGTCCAGGTCCGACTTCCTCCAGTTGCTGCGGCGGAGCAGCCGGCCCGCCGTCTTGCGGTCCTCGTCGGTGCCCGACTTGAGCCCCTTGGAGTCGATGGCGATGGCGGACAGGACCAGCTCGAGCAGCTCGTGCGGCATGTGGTACTCGTCGGGCAGGGCCTCGAGCTCGTCGAGCATCTGGCGCGCGACCAGGGTGGTGCAGCTAGCGACCTTTTCGAACACGCGCGGCTTGGCGGCGGGCGCGGTGCCCTTGTCCTGGTGGTGGTCGAAGATGCTGAGGACCCTGGCGTCGGCCCACTTCCTAAGGGGCGACGCGTGGTCGACGATGACGATGCCCTTGATGTCCTTGGACAGCGTCTCGGCGTCCTCGGGCAGCTCGTTCATGGTCAGCAGGTCCGAGTGGCCCGAGCTCATCTGCGAGTTGTCGAGCGCCAGCTTGTTCTCCGGGCGCAGGTCCAAGGCGTCGGCCGGGGTCTGCAGCAGGGCGATGGCCTTGATCCGGCTGGAGCTGTTGGCGGTCGAGTGCTCGAGGTGGTAGGCCCAGGTGAGGGCGGCGGCCATGCTGTCGAGGTCCCCGCCCTCATTGCCCATTACGATGGTCCATTCCGAGGACCGGCCCCGTTGCCAGTCGATCAGGAACTGGCGCTTTGTCTCCCGCGACCACTCGCTGAAGTGGCCGACTCCCGTCTCGATGGCGCGCTCTGTCGGCAGCGTCGCGTCGGGCTGCACGAGAACCCTCTGCGGGGAGTTTGCGGCCGCGGCCGGCGCGGCAGCCAGCACGGCGGCGGCGCCGAGGAGCTGGATTGGTCGCATTGGGGAAGAGCAGAGGGCGACGCGATTGAGTTGCTATGGTGTAAGAGCAATTCGAACGCGAGAGTTTCAATTACGTGTGGTTCTTGGCTGCATTTTTGTTGCCCGGGCCGCAGCGGAGCGCATGGGAATAAATGGGGGTGCGTGGGATGCTGGCGGGCTATGACGACAGCCCAGCCCAACAGCGCCTGGGCACTGCCGGGCTGCTGCTGGTGGACCCGTGGATCCTACAGAGCTGTCTGGTGACCGTGTCCGGGGCGCTGTTAGTTACATCTTGGCTTCACGGGTCGCCAATCGAGTGGGCTGAAGTGGCTGTGGCGACGGTGGATCGTCGCAGTGTTACTGATTTTGTTTGAAGGTCCATTTTAGGCCAATTTTAGGCCAATGTCGGTGGTGCAAATCGCGCCACGAGTCGTCGCCCAAATGCGGTAGAAATCGACAAGGAGCTTCCCAGTTGCTGATAGCTGTATGTCAGATGCAGCTCGTTCGATGTTCTTTTCTTTTATGGGATGAGCTAGTTCGCGTAACTCCGCGTCATCCCAACTCCCCCGCCATGTCAAAAGTCTGGAACCGCCAAAGGCTTTGTGTTCTTCTAGCGTCCAGGCGAGGGCGGCGCCGGCACGTTACCCAGAAAATTAGCGAGACCCTGATTGCTTCACCACTAAAGGGTCCTCTCCGCCAATACCAGTTGGCACAATTCACCGTCTCCCTTTTCACCCAGGCAACCTGAAGGTATGTATTTTACTTTATCGCCGAGGGAACGACGTGTGATGCCACTCGCAGCGAAGCCGTGGTGGAGCTTGACAAGAGGGATGGCCCCTTTTCTCGCTGCTTGTGGGTTCGGCTAGCCAGCTTTTCCCATCAACGTCGGACGCGACTTCTGTACTTCTTTCTGTACGGAAGATATGCGGTATAAATTTCTTCGACCAGAGGCACTGAGATTAATAAGGCGTCAAACTATTAATAAACACTAGGTCTTGCATGCAGGGTATTTTCGAGCTATTGAATCCTGCGTCGGTGCCTGCCTGATGTGACGCTGAAAAACAACATATCCAGCAACCGAGGCAATTTCCAGCATTTTATATCACGGATACAAACGCCAAAGGTACGCAAGGCCCGACTAGATGTTATTGTTTAGCGGCCAGCATAAAGTGCGGGCTCCGACACGGCTTCAAGTCGGATGCCACGGTGAGAAGACACGACCTCGGCGTGTTCATTGGCTCAAATGCACAAGGAGGCTGCTGTACGACAACCACCAGCCAAGTGTACTACGAGACAAAGTGCAGGGAGGCGAGATGGCTGACTAACTCGGCTGTTGCACGACATCAAAAATGACCGCTCACCGTCCGCGGACCAATTGAGTTCGCGCGTACGGACAGGGGCGATTAGGCATCCTCCAAAGTGTCTCAATACTGACCGCAATGTCGAGCATTTTATTCGCTCGGAATCGGGAGGTGGATTCGGGCTGAGTCTGCGTGCTCCATTTCCCCTGGAGTGGGTGGCCTTCCTTCCTATCCCGGCCGTCTGCTTGCTCTCCATCTCCACGATCGAACAGGGCCTCAGCTCGCCGTCGAGTCGCGAATTGGTGGCCTCGATATTTCGATCATTTTCCTTTACGCATCATCGTCACTGCATCATCCCCCCAGCCTGCCCAGCACATATATAATCCCCTCCCGCCGTCATGGTCTGTGCAATCATGAACTGGCTCGGCAGGCCATCGCCGTCTTCGCATAGGCACCAGAACTTGAGACCGCCTCCAATCCCGACAACATGAAGCCGGCATCTTTCCTCCCCCTCCTGGCGGCCCTGATGGGCTCGGCCGTCGTGGACGCCAAGGCCGTGTTCGCACACTTCATGGTGGGCAACGTGCAGTCCTTCGACCAGGGCGCGTGGGAGAACGACATTGGCGTCGCCCAGGCCGCCGGCATCGACGCCTACGCCCTCAACATCGCCGCCGGGGACAGCAGCGTCGACTCGTCGCTGGCCAAGGCCTTTGCGGCCGCCGACAGCAAGGGTTTCAAGCTCTTCTTCTCGTTCGACTACGCGGCCTGGGGCGCGTGGCCGCAGGACAGGGTCGTGTCGCTCATCAACTCGTACAAGGGCCGCGCCTCGTACTACCAGCACAACGGCAAGCCCCTCGTGTCCACCTTTGAGGGCCCCGGCAGCGCCAACCAGTGGGGGTCCATCAAGGGCAGCACCAACGCCTTCTTCGTGCCCGACTGGGACTCCCAGGGACCGTCGGGAGCCGCCTCGCTTGCCGGAGGAGTGGCTGACGGGCTGTTCAATTGGGATGCCTGGCCGGTGGGTGCGGCCGACATGAGCACCAGCAAGGACCAGGCCTACAAGAACGCGCTGAGCGGCAAGCCCTACATGATGGGCGTCTCACCCTGGTTCTTCACCAACCTGCCGGGCTGGGATAAGAATTGGTTGTGGCGTGGCGATGACCTCTGGTTCGACCGTGAGTGCACCTTTGTGGAACCTCCTTGCTGAGCAGTCGGTGTTTGGAGTGGTTACTAACAGACGCTTGTGCATCCATCAGGCTGGCAGCAGGTGCTCCAAATGCAGCCCGAGTTCGTCGAGATCATCACATGGAACGACTGGGGCGAGTCGCACTACATTGCGCCGCTGGACTCCCAGCAGTGGGGCCTCTTCAGCTCCGGTCAGGCGCCGTACAACTACGCCGCCGACATGCCGCACGACGGCTGGCGGCAGTTCCTGCCCTACCTCATCAGGCAGTACAAGACGGGCGCCACGTCGGTCGACAGGGAGGGGCTGACGACGTGGTTCCGCCGCAGCCCGGCCACAGCGTGCGCCACGGGCGGCACCACGGGCAACCACGCCGGCCACGGCCAGCAGGAGCTGCCGCCGTCGCAGGTGGCGCAGGACCGCGTCTTCTACTCGGCCCTGCTCACGTCGGGCAGCGGCGTCCAGGTGACGGTGTCGATCGGCGGGTCCTCGCAGGTCGGGTCGTGGGAAGCCACCCCGGGCGGCAACGGCGCGGGCATGTACCACGGCAGCGTGCCCTTCAACGGACGCCTGGGCCAGGTCGTCGTGACCATCACGCGCGGCGGGAACCAGATCGCGCGCGTCGACGGCGCGTCCATTAGCACGTCGTGCACCAACGGCATCACCAACTGGAACGCGTGGGTGGGCGGCGCCTGGGCGAGCGGCGGCTCGACGCCGCCGCCGACCGGCGACGCCTGCGTGGCTGGCTCGGGCCAGGGGAACTTTGGCGGCCTCTGCAGCTTCGCGTGCCACTACGACTACTGCCCGTCGCCCTGCACCTGCACCGCGCGCGGGACCAAGGTCAACCCACCGGCCGCCACGGGGCAGAAGGGATATCCCAAGGTCGGGGTCGCTGACCACTGCGCGTACCTGGGTCTCTGCTCGTTTGCGTGGGACCGCGGGTACACTGACAACCTGGCGGCTTGCGGCTCGGACCCGGCGGGCGCGGCGGGATGCTGAGCAGCACAAAAGAGGGGAGTAGAGGCGGGAGTCCTAGATGGTAGAAAATGAACTAACGAGGGCCATTCGTTTTCCTCGTTGCCCTAGCACCCTGTTGGCTTCCATGTGGTGTTGACATGCTACAACCAACGGACGTGGCAGGGAGATGTGATCTTGATGCGATGCAGGCTGCAGAACACAATGGTGCGTGCCGTTATCCCGGGGCACCGGCCGTGGTTGCACTGACGGATCGTTAGTGTCATGCGACCATTGCTTGGCTCCCGCGACCAGAGAAAGCAGCAATTGGCTGCTATCTTCCTTCTGCTCGGCGGCCCAGGCGGGGAGCTGACGCCAAGCCGACCGCTATCTCACCTTCCCTCTTGGGCAAGACCTCAACTCTTCTGCGCTCCCTTTTTCGACCTTGGTTCGATCTTGCGGTGCTCGGCTCTCGGTTAGGCCCCTCCGCTGAGGCTGCCCACTCCTGCCTATCAGGGGGAGTTCTATGCAGAAGCCAAGCCGCCCAGCGTTGGCGACTGCGGGTTGAGGGCGGCGACCTGCACTACAATGCTGGGGAGCTGCTGCGGGGAGCGTCATGTCGTGCAAGCCATAAATACGCGTCTTTCCTGCGGTCAGCGTCTTGCTGGCAGCAGCGTTGCTTGCTCCAGTCCCGTGCATCCTTCCGACTGTCCCAGGCCATCCTCGTCAAGCCAACCCATATTTTGCCCGTGTCCCATTCACCTTTGAAGATGCGTTTCTTCGCCGTTTCGGGCGCTGCCCTCGTCTTCGCCTCCGCGGCGGTGGCAAGGGAGATGGCCAAGGATGAGGCGCGAGCCAAGGGTAAGATATTCCAAACGACGTGAATGACAGGAAATGGCAACTGACAGCCGCCAGCCTTCTACGACAACGGCCTCACGCACCAGCAGCACCTCAAGAACAAGGTGGACAACTGGATGGCCGCGGCCGACGCCGGCCTGTTCAGCTCGGAAAAGTGGCCGCGCCTCAACTACACCAAGTGCATCGACGGCAAGGTCGAGGCCGTCAAGGGAGACCCCCTGCACACCTTCAAGTGCAAGAACATCGACCTGTACGACTTCATCAACCACGCCACCCTCGGCTCGCCCAACGGCTGGGACGAGGCGGGAGACGGCCTCCTCCTGACCGGCAGCGGCTCCTGGGGCTGGACCGACCCCGAGTCCGGCCGCGAGTTTATCGCCAGCGGCATGTACGACGGCACTGCCCTGCTCGAGATCCTGCCCGAGGGGCGTCTGCTCCACCTCGCGTTCCTGTAGGTGAAGATCTCATCCCGCCCTCTTGAACGTCTCGGGAGCTGACAATCTAGCAGCCCGTCGCCTGTTGACCCGAACGATCGCTACTCGTTCTGGAAAGAACTGCGGTCATACAAGCATTACATGATCATCGGCTCGGAGAGGCGCGGCCACGGCGTTCAGATCTTTGACATGAGGAAGGTGAGTGAATTCAAGCCAACGATGCCTCGACGCACCAGGAGACGACGGATCAAACTGACCAGTCCACCCTCAGCTCCTGACCGTCAACCCAGCCAAGGCACCTGTCAAGTTTGACGGCTTGGCCGACCTGACTGGCCATTTCATGGAGATGCCATTGGGTGCGAGCCACAACGTCGTCGTGAACGAGGAGAAGGAGTACATGGTCGCCGTGGGCTCGGCGCCGCGCACCGACGTCGAGTGCCAGGCCGGGCTCATTTTTGTCGACCTCAAGGACCCGTCCAAGCCGAAAAAGATTGCCTGCAATGGCGACGACGGCTACGTGCACGACGCCCAGTGCCTTCCGTATAAGGGACCTGACACCCGGTACCAGGGCCGCGATATTTGCTATGGTTATAACGAGGACTCGTTAACCATCTACGACGTGACCGACAAGACCAAGTCGACGATAATCTCTGTCACGTCCTATGAGGGCGTGCAGTACTCGCACCAGGGTGTCGTGCTGGACCCAAACAACCAGGAGTTCCTTCTCCTGGACGACGAGCTGGACGAGATCCGGTCCAGCGGAATGGCCATGGACAAGTACCCTGTAACCTACATCTGGGATATTCGAGACCTGGAGCATCCCAAGCAAACCGGTCTCTACAAAGGTCAGTCATGATTCTGATTCTGATTCTGGAGATTATACTCTGCTAACAAACAACGACTCTGCCAGGCACCGTCCCTGCTGTGGACCACAACCAGTACGTCATGGGCAACGGTCTGGTCTACCAGTCCAACTACATGGCCGGCTACCGCGTCTACGACATTTCGTCCATCCCCACCGACCCGACCGGAAATTCGGTCTGCGAGGTTGCGTACCTGGACATCCACCCCGAGGACGACGCGGCCCCCGGTGGCGGCGTGGCCGACATGTTCGGCACGTGGTCGTCGTACGCCATGTTCCCTTCGGGCTTCATCTACATCAACACCATCGAGCGCGGCGGCTACCTGGCCAAAATGACGCGCCGGGCGTCGTGCCCCCGCGCCGCGTCGTGCAATGCCGATAACTGCCTGCGCGCGATGCGGTCCACCAGCGTCGCCGGCCGTTTGGAGGAAAGCCAGAAGTTTTGCGGCGAGTTCACCAAGACGTTCATCGCCGACGTTAGCGTTGTCCCAGACTATGCCAGCAAGGCCTGCGGCGCCAATGTCATTTCGCGCGTGAGCTCTGCGTGCTCCTGCCTGCCCACGCCGACCCCTTGAGGCAAAAACCGAGGGGTGCGACTCTAGATTTTAAACTATGTAGCTTTGCAACACTGAAAGCCCGCTCGGCGGTTTTGCCATTGCCCCATTCGGGAGAGGATCCATAGCGAGAGACTCTTTATATGTAGTATGCGCCGCCCTGAAATTTCCCAGCGGTGCTGCCGTGCGTGGTACGGATTGGGGGTCCTGCTGGGGCCCAATTCCCAAGCTCCTGGACTTTTTACCCAAAGCAAGGATCTCCATGAGATGCACGTCAACGAGCCCCACGGCAGAGCACAAAGGGGAAGTTGGTAGGGTGCCGGACCCCCACCGCTCGGCCATGCAATCACACATCACCCCATCGGCAACCGCCTGCCAAAATGCAGAGCTACGGCGCGCGAGTCGTCGGGTTTTGCCTGAGAGGTCTTTTGTTGGCAGGCCACCTGGTAAAGTATATTTTGACATGTTCGGCTGCGCCAAGATCTGCCGTGGGGCGCTCGTACGGGTGAGCCCGACCCAAGAGGAAGTTCGCGCCTCGTGCGTTTATTTGAGTTTGAATGCTAGTGGGAGGAACCGTTGGACCCTGATACCCCGGCTAGCAGGGCCTTGCGTTGTTGGCCCACACGGCTGATCAGTATGTGCGCTCGTGTTGACCAAGTGGACGCAATAGCCCATCTTCTCTTCAACAGCAGTAAACATGCTGATCCGAGTGGAGAGTCTGGTCCTCGACATGGATATCACTATCAAAGCCTTGCTTTGCTATGTGTGGCGCATATGAGATGAGCACCACCCACTCCCTAGCGGAGCAAAACCCGGCCTGCGCCGAGAATGTCTTCTAGGTAGGTACGCGCGCTTGTCAGAGCCCAAGCGCCTGTCCGGGGATTTCTGACGTGACTCAAGACCCCTGGGCGCGGCCATCGCGGCTCCATCGCGAACCCCAACGTAGGCTTGATGGAAATTAGCCCCCGCCGGATCGGGCATGCCAACTATACCCCACGTGCCACCGGGCCTTGAGCCGGTGCGTATGGGAGACTAACATCGGGCCTCGTCCGAGCGGGAGCGATGCAGAGGCCCCGAGGAGAATATAAGGCGCGATGCCCCGACGCTACGATGCTCTGCTTGGTGTTTGGCTTCATCCGGCAAACGGTCGTTCATTCTTTCACGACTGCTTCGGGGTAAAGCAGCATTCCTTGATACTTGTCACTCTTGCAGACTCTCGTTCACCAGTCTCGTTCCCTTTTTCTATTTTGATACATTCTCTCTTTCCATCATGCAGCTCAGGGCGATCACTGTGGCGTACGCCACGATGGCCATGTTGTCGTCGGGCGTGCTGGCCAAGTCCGACACCTGCAAATTGATCAAGACCCAAAGCAGCAGCATCGCCGAGTACTCGGGCATCTTCAACAGGGAGTACAACAAGGAGACCGGGGAGTACTGGTAGGAGATCCAACGGCCTATGAGGACCGCCCGCGATGCGTCTCTGTTCCCTGTCTAACACGTCGTCCACATCACAGGTCCCAGGGATGCGCGGGCCTCAAGCCCGACTGCGTTCTCGAGCCGCAGAACGCGCAAGAGGTGTCGCAGCTGATGAAGGTGCTGGCCGGTAACAGCGACGAGTTCGCCATCAAGTCAGGCGGGCACAACCCCAACAACCGCTACGCCAGCGTCAAGGACGGCGTCCTCATCTCGACCAAGAAGATGAACGAGGTCACCATCGACCGGGCCCGCGGCGTCGTCACCGTCGGCCCGGGCAACCGGTGGGACGACGTCTTCAAGGGCCTCGAGGGCTCCGGCCTGGCCGTCGTGGGCGGGCGCATGGGCAACGTCGGCGTCGGCGGCTTCCTGCTGGGCGGCGGCCTGAGCTTCCTGAGCACGCAGTACGGCTGGGCGGCCAACAACATTGTCGAGTTCGAGCTCGTGACGCCCAACGGCACCATCGCGACCGTGTCGGCGGACAAGCACCCGGACGTGTTCGAGGTGCTCAAGGGCGGCGGCAACAACTTTGGCATCGTGACAAAGTACGTGCTCAAGGCGCACCCCATCGGCAAGGTCTGGGGCGGCAACGTGATGTACGGCAAGGAGAAGACGGGCGAGCTGCTCGCGCTAATCCGCGACTTCACCGAGCACTACGACGACCCCAAGGCCGCCATCATTGCCACGGTGCAGTTGACGGTGCTCAACGCCATCGAGATGTGGACGCTGTTCCTGTTTTACGACGGCCCCACCCCGCCCGCGGGCATCTTTGACAAGTTCGACAAGGTCGGGCCGACCATCAACAACTGTAAGACGCGCGAGTACGGCGAGCTGCTCAGCTACAACAACTGGGCCGTCCTGCACGGGTCCCGCTACGTCATCGCGACCGAGACGACGCCGCTGCCGCCCGCGTCCGACAACGGCAACATGATGCGCGCCTACTTTGACCACTGGCGCTCCACCTCCAAGAAGCGCGCCGGAGAGCTCGGCATCATTTCGTCCATGGCCTTCCAGCCCATCCCCAAGTCGCTCACGCGCATCGCGCGGGCCAGCGGCGGCGACATGCTGGACCTGGACGACGCGGCCGACCGCATCATGTTCGAGTTCAACTACTCGTACCTGCTCGGCACGAGCGACAAGGCGATCGACAAGACCACGGTCGAGCTGACGACGGGCATCAAGTCGCTCGTCGACGGCTTCGTGCAGGCCGGCCGCCTGCCCAACGTCCACAACCCGCTCTTCCTCAACGACGCCTACTACAGGCAGGGCTACTTCTCCCGCCTCCGGCCCGAGAAGAGGCAGAAGGCCGTCAACGTGCGCAAGAACCTCGACCCGCAGGGCCTGTTTGCTCTCCGCACCGGCGGACCCAAGGTTTAGGGGGTGTTGTGGGTTGTGGATATGGATAAAAGATGGGTGCATGCTTTACAACACAATTTCAAGTCCCCTCACGAGGGTGAGTTATAGTAGTAAAATTAATAAGGAGCCGCCGTTTCCCCAGTTTGCTTTTAAAATGTTCAAATGCCCAGGCGGCCTCATGCAATATTCAAGATTCAGCTCATGCAACCCCTTACCCCTGGCGTCTCCACAAGGCCACCCGAGGACACAAAAGCTGCGCGACATGCCTGACATCCTCACCGACAATCCAGCCCGCTTGGCTTAGTGGTAAAGCGTATCACTAGTAGCGAAGGAAACTTCCGCATTGGTGTATGATAAGATCGTCAGTTCGATTCTGACAGTGGGCATGTATTTTGGGCTTTTGCCCTTGTTTTCTCTGTGTCTCCAGGACATGGTCATTCTTTTTATGATTCTTATCTAATTTGCCGTTTCTGATGCTCCCAACGTAACGCCTACCCACAAAGTGCTATAATGCATGCATAAAAATGCAATAGCCCAAGCCCGCCATGCTGTGCTCCAAAGTCCCGTTTATTCAATCCCCAACCATCAACCATCATAGCCCCTTGACAATCCTCCACGCATTCAGTATAACCTCGCGCTGCTCCCTCGTCGTGATGGGCAGCTGCACCTCCCCCCTCGCGCCCCGGACGCACTCCTCCTCGGTCGCCCACACGTAGGCCTGGTGCTCGCGCGGGTCCAGCACCACGGCGGCGGCGTCGTCGTCCTCGATGTCGACGACAAAGTTGAACTTGGCCACGACCCTGCCCCTGCGCGTCAGGAACACCTGCGTCAACGCATCGTCGTGACCCCCGTCGACGACGTCGTCGCCGTCGCCGTGCCCCCGGCAGGGCACGACGAAACGCACCGACGCGGCGCGCAAGCCGACCTCCTCCCACAGCTCGCGCACCACGGCGCTCAGCACCGTGGCGTCGTCGGCGTCGACGCCGCCGCCGGGCGTCTCCCACAGGCCCGGCATCGAGTCGGACGCGGACCGCTGCACCAGCAGGACGGCGGTGCGGGAGGCGTTGAAGACGACGGCGCCCGTCGCGAGGCACTGCGGCTTCACCGAACCGAGGGCGGTGGTGGTGGTGGTGGTGGTGTTGGTGTATTCGCGGTCCAGGAAGGCCTGCATGGAGCAGCCGAAGCGCGCCTGCAGAGCCGGGTCCACGACAATAGGGTTGTAGGACGGCGAGCCAGCGCGCACGAACGCGGTGGTGGTGGTGGCGGCTGCGGGCTCGGACATGGCTTGTGGTGGGGAGGGGGTAGTATATGGTTCGCTGTCTCTACACCGGTTTCGGGGTGGGATCCGGAGGGCGATGGGTGCGGGCGTTTGTGATTTCTTGTAGGAAAATGGGCCAAGGGCGGTGACGGTGTTCTTTGACGCTTCAGCAGGCAAATTGGGTGTTTGCGCAGGAGTCATCCACGGCTGCTGCCTGCTGTGACGCCGCGAGGCGGATTCCAGCACGGCCTGGTCGTGGTCGTGTGCTGATTGACTCGCTGCGGCGGTTGAGACGTGCTTTGATGCCTGGGCCCAGATGTGTTGCGCCGGACTCAGCCCAGACGCGGAACAAAGCGCTAGGCAACGGCTCGCCACGCCCTTGGCCAACGAGTGTGACATTTTAGCGAGAATGAAAGGGTAGTTAAAACGTAGCTCTTCTGCTTATTAGATAACTCCTAGCTGGTATGCTGGGCCACGGCGATTGCGAGGGACATCAACGCTCTGGCTGGACAAACATTCCCATTCCCATTCCCATTCCCGTCCATCGGGCAGCACAAGACAACTTCCAACAAGCCATCTCCGAAAACCTAGGTCCACAACTACAAAAGGCAGTCATAATCGGCGAGACTGTTGCGCCCGGAACCTTCTTTCCAACCAAGCTCCAACGAATTCACGGCGCTTACAATGGATGCGCTTAGAATTACTTGATGCAAGGTTGCGGATCGCTTTCTCCCGCGATTATTCAGCCCGCTGCGTGCGGCGATGCGGGGACTCGTCGGGGACCCGATTTGACGCCCGGCTCGCGGCAACCCGGTGATGCGTGAGAGTCCAACCCGGGATTTTGCGAAAGGCGAGCCCGAAAAGCCATACAGAGACGTCCGGTAATTTGTCGCGACGATTGCGCGGAGGCGAATGCTCCTTTCGGAATGTAAACGTTCGTAGCCGGTACATCGCATCAGAAAGTGGCTATAAAACCGGGAGACATCCGGCGTAGAAGCCCATGTCTGTCCGTCTATCCGCCATCGCCTCTCGACAACACAAGCTCTACGATAACCATTTCTACAGTGTCAACACAAACCACAATAAAGCATCCTACCTTACACACCTTACCGCCATGGCGTCCACCACTGCCGTTGTCCCCAAGGACCTTCCCACAGAGATGCAAGCCATCCTACAGCCCGACAAAGCCTCCACAAAGCTCGTCCAAGGCACTATCCCCGTCCCCACACCAACCCACCCGGACGATATTCTAGTCCGCGTCGTAGCCACCGCCCCCTGCGCCGGCGAACTGCTTTGGGCACGCAACTTCCCCGAACTGATCCCCGCCGACAAGATCCCGGTTCCCGGCCAGGATATGGCAGGTATCGTCGTCGCGGCTCCGCAGCACTCGACCTTCAAGCCCGGGGACGAGGTTTACGCACGCATCGAGGCCACACGGCCGGGTGCCGCTGCAGAGTACACCCTGGCCAAGGAAAGCGAGCTCGCCCTCCGACCACGCTCTGTCGACTGGGCCCACACGGCGGCGACGCCGCTCAGCGCCCTGACGGCGTACCAGGCCCTCTTCACGCATGGAACGCTCAACCCGGCCGCCCTGCTGGGAGGGCATAATATCTCAAGTGACAAGGCCGCTGCGGTGCGGGCAAACGGGCAGCAGCGGGTGCTCGTGACGGGCGCGTCGGGCGGCGTCGGTAGCTGGGTGGTGCAGCTAGCAGCGGCGGCCGGGGCGGGGGCCGTCGTGGCGGTGGCAGGTCCGGGCAAGGGAGACCTGGTGCGCGAACTGGGCGCAACAGAAGTGGTCGACTACAGTCGCCAGACCATCGGTCAGTGGGCGGCAGAAGGGAGCGGCGGCGAGCACGGGGTCGACCTGGTGGTTGACTGCATCGGCGGCACTAGCCTGGCAGCATCGTGGGCGGCAGTCAAGGACGGCGGGCTGATTGTCAGCATCGTCAGCAGCCCGGAAGCAGCGAGGCCGGCAGGGGGGCAGGCCGGCAACTCTGCCAAGGCTGCAAAAGGACTCTTCTTTGTCGTCGAGGCGCTGGGGTCGCAACTGAAGGACATAGCGAGGCTCGTCGACGCCAAGGTGGCGCGGCCCTTGGTCGACAGCGTCTGGGGTTTCAACGAGTTCGAGAAGGCATTCGGACGGCTGGAAGGAGGGCACGTGAGGGGCAAGATCGTTATGCAGGTGGACGGGTCCTTGGAGTGAGGCTGAGGTGTGTGGTGTGGTAGTACTCAGGCGGCAGTCATGATCAGATCAAGTTTCGAGGCTAGCTTCGATGCTTCGAGGGGCGTAATCTAGAAATGCAGAGTCATTTTTCTTCGGGCGGACAGTCCGAAACCGGCACAATAGCACGAGCGTGGCACCTGGCTGATAGCAATGCGAATACAGCTTCGCAACCGGGATGATTCGTAGGGGCGAGCTGTCTGGACTGTCTGGTCTGTCAAAAAGAAAGCTCAAGCGGACAAACCAAGTCTCCCCAGATTGACGGCGCCAAGGCGGTGATGGGAGAGGGGCCAGAGGCCGCCGTGCCCCACTGGAGTCAGGTGGAATTGGCCAATAGCAGCCTCGATAGACCCAGGGACGGCAGAAACAGCAGCGTCGATTGGCCAGGCCCCGCCAAACCCCTGAGTGAAGGCCGTTTGATCTGCAGCACGCCCACGCCTGCATCCGTGTCGCAGAAACTGCATCAAAGGCTGGCCCTTGGATTCCGCGCTGGTGCCGACGTCGACTGGCAGTGACACCAAACAAAAGCGCCCAGCTGCGGCCATCGTACGTGATTCAAGCCTTGCCACCATGGGAATTTTCGCACCCCGAATAGGGGACGTGGGGCTGATCCTCCTTTTCCGTGCTTCATGGATTACGCTGTCTTGCGGTGCCGTTTTTGATCATGTTTCTCCCGCTGTGTTTTTCCAGCGCACAGCCCGAGGATCAGCTGCCGTGTTCTCCAGCCATGTGACCAAAGTTTTCAAACGAGCTGACTAGAGTTGTACCGCAGGCACTCTAGAGTAGCACTGCTCGCAAGTGTCACCAACAGCGAGACACCCCTCTCAGAGACAGACCTCTCTCAGATCTCTAGCCAGATCCATTGCGATCGCATCCGATCCACTCCCTGCTCGCCACCGCCGGCAACACCCAATCACTGCGCCTCTTGCCAGGGCCTCTATGGACCCCATCGGAGCGGCCATGGGGCATCCAGCCTGACCGCTTGTCAAGCTGAGACGCCTTAGCGCGTTGGCGGCTCAAGCGGACCCTGCCGGGAGCCCCTGCCCCCATGCACCAAATGGAACTGTCTCGCCTTGTTTCGGGCCGCCAGCTGCTGGCTCCCACCTGGCGTCCACCCGCCTTGCTGGCCTGCACGCTTACGCCATGTCGATTTCCCTTCTCTCGATTTGTTTCCTTGATCCATCGAGCGAGTGCTGTGCGACGTGCGTTATCCTTCCTTTTTCCCTTATTCTTTCCTTTACCGTTTATTGCCCTCGTTCGTTCGATACTCTGGGGTACACGTTCCTTCTTTAGTGACATCTCGGCCCCTGCTTTGCTTCTTTAATATTCTATTTCGTCACCTTGCTCTTTTGCTGGCCAACCGGAGCAGCGGGGGAAATCGAACCGACCGGACCGGCATCGACAATACCGACGACGACCTTGGCTTAACTAGAGGATATCCAGACCAGAGCGCGAGAAAACGCTTGGTCTTGCCGGACGTCTTTTCTCGTGAATTTGCAGTATTCCCTTTCTATTTCTCTTGTCCATATTCGACACCAATGAGGCGGACCTCGAGGTGACGGCCCTTCCACCTCCTCGCACCGCTCGAGTGCCCTTGATGGCACACCGACGACTCTGCGAGCTCCTCTGGCTCCTCGCGACGGCCGCCCCGGCATTACTAGTCTCGCCAGCACTAGCGCAAGATGCGTTCCCACCATCGACTGCCATAGAGCCGCACGATGCCGGCTGCGTGCACATGCCCATCTTCCACCGCAACAGGGAGCAGCATGGAAACCCGAGCCGCCGCGCCGTTCAGCTGCCCTTCAGCCAGCGCTTTGATGTAGGATATTACACACGCCTGAGTTTCGGCAACCCGCCCCAGGAGGCTCTCGTGCACCTCGACACGGGCTCCTTTGAGCTCTGGATCAACCCGACCTGTAGTGTTTTGTCTGCCGGCGAGCGCGCCTTCTGCCAGACAGGCGGCAACTACGACTGGACCAAGTCGTCCACCGCCGAGGATCTTGGGACCACCAACCAGCTGCGCTACGGCATCGGTGCCGCCAACATCTCGTACGTGCGCGACACCATCGGCATCCCCGGCACCAACATGCAGGTCAACAACGCGCAGTTCGGCGTTGCCACGGCGAGCGAGCAACAGAACGCAGGTATCCTGGGGATTGGCCACGGCGTTGGCCAGACCATCAAGTACAAGAACTTTATCGACGAACTCAGGGATCAGAACGTGACAAAGACCAAGGCATTTTCCGTTGCGCTTGGCGGCAAGGACGAGAAGCAGGGTATCGTCGTGTTTGGTGGCGTCGACACCTCCAAGTTCGCCGGCCGCCTGGCCCGCCTGCCCATCATCCCCGCCATGATGTCGCCCGACGGCGTGCGCCGTTACTGGGTGCAGATGCAGAGCCTGACCCTCAACCCGCCCAGCCGCCGCGCCCGCACCTACAACAACAGCCGCATGGCCGTGTTCCTCGACACTGGCTCGACTCTGACCCTGCTGCCCGAGGAGATGGTCAAGGCCATTGCCTCCGACTTTGGGTCCACGGCCATGGACGCCCAGGGCTATTGGCCCGTCAACTGCGACCTGACGAGGGTCAACGGCACGCTCGACTTTGCCTTTGACAACATCACCATTCGGGTTCCCTACAAGGAGCTGATCCGATCGTTCAATGGCAACTGCGTCCTGGGCCTCAGCAGCAACTCCAACTTTGTCCTGCTGGGCGACACCTTCCTGCGCTCTGCCTACATGGTGTTTGACCAGGATGCCGACTGCATCTGGATGTCCCAGTACGTCAACTGTGGCGCCTCCCCGGGCGCTCTTCAGACGACCTCGTCGCTCCGCACGCTTGAGGGTCAGTGTTCGCGCCAGTTTGCAGGCTCGGGTGCCGGCTCGGCCGCCGTGAGCCCCCCGACTCCGTCGGGCACATCGCCAGCAATGAAACCACCAAGCACAATCACTTCAACCCCAGCAAGCGGCACAAGGATAGCAGGACCCGGCGGGCCCGCCGGCCCCGCCAACTCCGGGCCTGGGCGGCCTGTGGCGGGCTGGGGGGCTGGTTTCGCGGCCATTTTGTCATTGACCGCCTCACTCTGGCCTTTATTAGTCTAAATAATATTCTGGCCTTTTTCTTTTCTTTTTGTTTGGTGCTATTCTCTTCCAGTCCTTATAGTTCACATGCCTCTGCTGCGCATATTTTACATATATCCAGCCGTTGTTGGTGGTACATATTTTTTATTTCTCATGCGTCCCGCACACCTCAACCCGCATATCCCCCTGTATCTCTCTAGAGGACGGGCTACTTTGGATGGGCTTTGTTTTCCAGGTTTTGGAAAGTTGATACCCTCATACCTCCTGCTCATTGTTCCTGAGTTAGCGTCACCGGTGGACGGCATTTAGCATGGCGGCGTTTTCTTCTCCCTTCGTTTCGGCACAACCCCCACCTGTATGGCCGTGGGGTTATTATAGCTCAGCGAGTAATTTTATTCCCATTTTCGATCTTTACCGAGACTTTCTGCCTTGTTATGCGGGAACCTCGCTTCTGCCCTCTTGACGCATAGTTGCCCTGATGGCGAAGATCGTGTCAGCGCATAGCCGACATATTTATACCAGCTCCTTAGAACCCGACATCGGGTATCTTTAGTGAAGACCGCAAAATCGGTCCTGTCAAGGTATCAGATCGAGCCGGGGACCAAAAACAAGGATCATCCATCGATCGGGCAATTACGACGAGAGCTGAACGCGCCAGCCTGTTTGGGAAAAGCCGCAAGGTGCGGGAGTAGCGACTTATTCCCGCGCCCTTGAGCCTAGACGCTTTTGTTACATGACCATGTTCGCTCATTTTTTTTGGGCGAGGTCTAGCTCGCCGACAGAGTTTCAAAGTACGTCTCCATATGTGTTTGGTAACATCTGTGTGTTTCTATGCCGTGGATAACTGATGGGATCGTACATGGACGCGATGGTTGATGAGCAGCAGAACGTCATGTGTCTGCCTAGAAAGGAAGTAAGTGCGAGGGAATTCCTAGCCCATCCGTAAAAGAGATAGTGTGACAGGTATGCGTAATGAAATTAAAGAAGAAAGAAAGAAGTAGATTATACAGCAGACAGAAAAAAAAAAGTGAAGGAAAACACTCCACACAGCCGTCCTCGACGCCGTGAGAAAACATCACCTGCAAAGCCGCCCTCACGGAGCCTCGCTAATGTGAGGCGACGGCGACGGCGTCCACGGCTCGACGGGCTTGTGCGCGACGGCAGGCGCGGCCACGGGCTGCCCGACCACGGGGGCCGCGCCGGCGCCGGCGCCGGCAGCGGCGGCCTCCTCCTTCTTCTTCTTCTTGCGCATCTGCACCCACAGCGTGGCCACGGCCACCAGTAGGCTGGGCACGCCGACGCCCAGGCTCGCGGCCAGCGCGATGATGTCGGACTGGCTCAGGCCGCCCTTGGCCTCGCCCTGGGCTGCCGCCCCCGCCGCCCCGGCCCCCGTCTGGGCAGGTAGCCCGTCTCCCTTTGCCGTCGCGCCCGCCCCACCGGCACCGGCACCGGCACCCGTCGTTGTTGCCGGCGCGACAGCCGCATCGCCCAGAGCAGAGCGGCAGTACCCGTCGTACAGCCCCTGCATGCTGCTGGCCTCCTCCTTCCAGCCGGCGACGCTGCGGCCGCAGCGCTCGCTGACGCACGAGGTGATGTAGGACGCGGCCGAGCTGGCCATCTTGGCGCCGCAGTAGCAGGCGTTGTTTGGCCCGCAGCCGCAGCCGAGCCCGAGCCCGAGGTCCTGGTAGCCCGCGTTGACGCCGCAGTGCCACATGCCGTTGTACACGAGGCAGCCGACGGCGCACGCCCGCGCCGTCGCGTACATGGGCTCCTTGGCCAGCGACACGGCCGCCGTGCCGCCGGTCTGGTCGACTGCTGATGCTTGGTGGGGGGCCGAGAGGAGGACGAGGAGGAGGGGGAGGAGGGGCGGGCGCGCCGCGGGCTGCCGGGGTGGTGGTCGTCGACCCATGGTGGGAGGGATGTGATGTAGCTGGGGGTGGCGTGTCCTGATGGATGGAAAGGTGGTAAGTGTGCGTATGTGACTGCCGTGCCCAAACAAGGCGTTCTTGATATCACTCGAGGCAAGGGACACTCTCCTCAACGCGTCGTGCAGAAAATTCAAGCAAAAGAGGATTTCCCTGGCACCATTCTACAAGTTACCAAAGAAATACCACCAGCACCGGCTGACCTCTTGCAACAGATCGCATCAAAACAGATCCCATCGGTGGCGTTAGCCTATCAGAGCCCAGGGCCTAGATCGTGCGGCTAAGGCTGCCGAGAGCGACGAGGCATGCGGCCCATCGGGTTTAGGCCCGGACCGGCCTAGCACCGTTCCCGCTCAAGGGCGGACCGCCACGCCTACTGGGTAGTAAGCGAGTGGCTTTCCGCCATATTAGTTGCGTGGTTTTCATCGCCATCGACACGCTTTTTCTTTCTTTTTTTCCCTTCGGATTTTGATTGCCTCTCCCTATCTACTTGCCTCAGCCTCGGCGGCGTCGGCCATCTGCCCCAGCGTGTCAAACTTCCAGTCAAACACCTCCTCATCCCGGTTGCCCATGACGGCGCCGGCGCGCGCGATCCAGCAGCTCCTCACGCCCGCCATCTTTGCCGGGTGGTGGTCGTGGAACTGGCTCTGCGCCGTCTGCAGCACCCCGTCCTTCTTGACGCCGAACTCGCGCTCCACCTTGTCCAGCATGTAGGCAAAGTTGCGCTGGTCGGGCTTGTACGACCCGATATCCTGCGCCGTCAGCACCAGGTCAAAGTGCGCGCCCTGCAGCGGGCCGGACCGCGAGGCGGCAAAGGACGCGCGGTCGACGTTGGACAGCACGACGAGCTTGTAGTGCCGCGCCAGGCGGGCCAGCGCGTCCGCCGTGTCCGGGAAGGCGGGCCAGGCGCCGACGCTGTCGCCAAAAGCGCGCGACTCGGCCGGGGTCGGCGGGGCGCGCGTCAGGCCCAGCGCGGACGCCAGCTGCGGGTGCACGGCGGCCAGCAGGTCATGGTAGGGCATGTCGGGTGTGGCGGCCTGCTGGGCGGCCTCGAGGCGGCCGAGCACGGGCAGGAGGGCGTCCTTGGTGGTGGTGTAGTCGTTTGCGGCGAAGAGCGGCTGCAGCGCCGTCATGATGCCCGTCTCCCAGTCGATCAGGGTGCCGTAGACGTCAAAGGTGAGGACGGCGAAGTCTTTGAGGGCGGGCATTTTTGTGGTTTTGCGGTTGGGGTGCTGGACGCGGGGTAAAGTGTGGACTTGGCGATGGTTTGATGGAGAGAGTTGGAGGCATAGGTATAGGTAGGTAGTTATCAAGTGTCTGCTTGGGGTGTTGCTTGTGAGGCCTGACATGTCGTCCGAAAGGCGCGCCCCTCATCACCACCACCCCACCGTGTCAGCACTGTCGGAGCAGCGGGCGGAGGAGGGCCGACTGCGGCGCGAAATGGGCCACTGCTCCTTCTTGGCAACGCTTGATGTTCTTTTTGGCTTCTTCCATGAATTAATCATGTTCCATACCGAATTCCTCCAGGCGATGCCATCGGATACCAAATCCATGCCTGATTCCTTTCTTCTTTTCGCACAAACTGCAGATGCAGGTTAGCGTGAGAAACAGATGGTGCTCAGGCCATGCTGTCCGCCGCGATGCAAGATTTGAGCAATTCAACACGCTTCTAGCCACCGAGACAACCAAATCTACGCTTGCAAGCAGCCGTTTGAAGGCTACAAGTAGTGTCTACGCTGCTGCCTCGTCGCCTCCTCTGACGGTCCTCGGCAGCTCCGCCTCCTCCCCTTCCATGACTACCAACGGTCCGAACCGTCTCGCTCCGCGTGCCCCTTCAACTCTCCACCACCCACCTCCTCAACCTGCCCCGGCTCGACTTTCCATAACTGCTCTGGGAGCACCTCCCTGTCCACCGGATCAGCACGAGCTACGCCACCACACCTGCTCGTATCTTGGTTCAGGCCCTGTCGCAATGCCTGCCGGGGGCTCCGCGCCGCCGTTGATGATCTGCAGGCCCAGCTGCCCAAGAGCCCCGTCAGCATGCGTCTGTAGTGCTGACAGCCTGACTCGCGGTCGCGCGATGGATTCGACCTAGGTATGGAACGTGGGAATCTAGGCATGGATGCCACGCCTGCTGGGCGGCGGCGACGAGGACCTCGTTCTTTGGCGCGCCAAGAACCCTAGCCATGCGGCTCTAGGAGCTGGGCGCGCGCGCGCCTGACCTGTTCACTCACACATGGCGTGACCCCTGCATCCGCCGGCTCAGCTTCGATCCCCGGCTCTGGAGCCCCCGATGCGGACGTGTTGCTCTGCCGGCCGGCGCCCGGCATCGTGAAATGGACGAGCCGTGACCCGACGTGGAGGGCTGCTTCGATGAGGAGCGCGCCGGATCAATCCTGAACGGGACGGGGGTCAAGCCGCTTATGGTGGCATTTTGCAGCGGCGCTGCAGGGGATGCCCCGGCGAGGCCGAACCGTTGGCGCGTCCCAGCTGATTGCCGTCCGAAGAGCGACTTGTCGGGTGCGGGAATGCCGGCGCCGGTGTTCGTGTGCCAAGTAACGGAGAGAGCCTACTGTGTATACTTTGAGCAACGTGATGTGGACCAGAGGCCACGTGAGAAGCTGAGCTAGGCATTCTCAGGAAAGATACAGCAGCTTCATTGTGTTCAGGTCCAGTGTAAAGAAATTAAACTCACATACTTTAAGATAAGCACGTACAAGGGCTACACGCAAAATCGCATAGCCTATCAAATGCGTTCGATCCCATGTGGGCTTTCCGTCTCACTCGGCCCAAACCCTAAAATCGGCTGCCGGGCCTGTCTGGATCGGGGCCTCTCGCTTAGCATGTACCGGATCGCGTCCGTGCTTCTCGAGGGCTCGGGCCTGACAATCACCACGGGCTTGTCGCGCGAAGGTGGCTGGGCTTGCTGCTGAATAGCGATCATGCCATTTCATGCTATTTTAACTTGTGAAGGCAAATGCCTCCTGGGGACGTGGCGCCTAGCTCTCGGGATTCATACGGTGGACTAGTTGCCGGCAGGAGGCTGAGGTAGGTTCTGGCCAGAGGAGGACCGAAACAGGTAACTGCCATAGACTAATGACCCAGCGCCCGCTTGACAAGAGGAAAGGAATGAGGCTGACAGGAGCTTGAGTGCTTGGCTTTCTCAAGCACAACCGCGGCACGCGTTCTCCCAGCTATTCCCGCCTTCCGCGCTCGAATAAAGTGGGAAACCCTGATCTACAAAATCACACCGTCGGCGAGAACGCCGTGCGGTTCGTACAGGCCAGAGGACGGGGGAAGGGCCAGAAACAGAAACGCCCCTGGCATGGCATGGGAAGGCCCCCCTCCTCACCGTATGGCGTGGCTTTTAGCTGATGCTGGGGGAGCTGCGATGTTCCGAGTCAACATCCCGGGGGCGAGGGGGACCAAAACGGAGCTAAGGTAGAGTCTCCAAACAGCAAGCGGCTAGCTACCCCAGTCCTGCGACCCTCCCCGTCGCTAGTCCCGTCGGCCAAAAAGCTGGGTTTAGGTTTAGGCCCAGGCCGCTTGGCCGGCTTCCATCAATGGTTCCCCTAGGGCCGCTGCATGGGGGTTAGCGCACTGTCCCTAGCGGCCTTTGCGACAGACTGTAAACACGACAATCCCGACTCTTGTGCGGGCTTGCATGGCGGGCATGTCGTGTCGACTGCCTTGCTCTGGGAGAGAGAGAGAGAGAGACGTTGAAGAAATCCTTCATCCCCACAGCCGAGCCCGGCTTTCGTGATCCTCACACCCCCCGGCGACTCACCAAAGCTTAAACCGTCACCATGGTGAACCCAGCCGAAGTTATGGTAAGGAAACTTTTGCTGCTCGTTCTTCCCCCCTGCCAAAACCGACCGCCTGGTGATTGACAAACAACGACAGGCCATCGAATGGCTGATGCTCTCGCTCGCCTGGCTGCTGGTCGGGTTGCGGGTCAGCGTGCGCTTCCAGATGGACAAGACGCGCCTCCTCGTCGTCGTGTCCGACCTCCTCCTGGTCCTGGGGGCGCTGAGCATACTGGGCCTCGTGATATGCGACACTCTCACATACCGCATGGGCGCCATGTCTGACTTTGGAGCAATCGGGGAGGACTTGGGCAAGATACGGTTTGCGACAAACTACTTCTTCGACGCGGGCCTGTATCTGCCCAAGCTCAGCATGCTGGCCATCTACTACCAGCTCATCCCTCCCCACCAAAGGGCCCTGCGCGCCGGCCTGTACGTGGTGACGGCCGTGACGGTCGCCGCCGTCCTGATCACTGTCTTTACCGACGCCTTTTGGTGCGGGCCCGACCCGTCCGTCAACTGGAAGGTTGGAGAGAACGTCTGCTCGACCTTTACGTCGACCACGCTAATGGTCAACAATTGGGCCTTGTGCATCACCGTTGAAGCTCTGAGTACGTGGCGCTCCCCTGGGGGTTTGAGTATTTCTATCAAGTCAGTCCTTGGCACTAACACGCATGCTATTGAATGAGCAGTATTCCTCCTACCCATTCCCCTTCTGCGTCAAGTAAGGTCCCTGGCTAGCATACAACAAGCCGGCCTGGTCGTGGTCTTCTCGCTCGGCATCACCACCATGATGGTCAGCACGGGCCGCTTCATCTCCATGATGTACACGGGAAACTATATTTCCGTCTGTAAGTGCCGCCCGCCCCACCTGCCGCTCTCGGAAGCCAAGACAAAGAAGCAGGAAACAGGCTGACACCCCGCCGGCGTCAGACATCTGGGCCACCACCGAGTTCGCCGTGTCCATCATGGTCGTGGCCTGCATGGCGCTGCGGCCCCTGGCGACCAAGACGTGGCGCGCCGCCGCCGGCAAGATCACCAACCGCAGCGGCGGCAACCGCGACGGCGGCAATCGCAGCGACGGCGGCAACAAGAAGGGCGGGTCGGCCGGCTCGGCCTCCGCCAGCCGCCGCGGCACGGGGGCCCGCCACCCCCACCACAGCCAGCGCAACCCGTCCAACGCCTGGCAGGCGCCCGAGGGCAGCGAGATCCAGCTGACCTCCTTCTCCGCCGACGGCGTCATCATGGGCAACTCGGTCAGCGTGTCGAGCGCGGGCCGCCGCAAGAGCGGGCCCGAGCCTGCCTTCTCGCACGCCGTCTTTAGAGAGTGGGAGGTCACGGAGCACCCGGCCGGGGCGGCGAACCACGTATGAGGAGAGGGGAATTTGCAACGATAACACGGTTTTTTTTTTCTTCTTCTTCTTCTTTTCATGGGCCCAGAACCGGCGACGGTTTGTGAGTTTGGTATCGCGAGCGTGGCGTATAGGAGTACACGAATAAACGAAAGTCACGAGGATCAAGGCCTGTTCAAACTGTAGTTTGGTGGGGGTTGAATGCAAAGTCAGGCTGTGGAAATGACCCACTGCGAGCAGCACAGCCAGTGACAGCCAGGCCTTATTCAAGCCTCCATCTCCGACACCTTTTTTTATATTTTTTTTTTACAGATGGCTCTTCGTCATGGCGACGCAAGGGATTTGTCTCGAATTCTCCCCAGCCATTGAACCGTCTGGGAAGAGCTGTCAATGGGCAGGCCGTATCTAAGCTTCGTTCCCTTCCTTGTCCGCCTCGCGTTGTATCTCAATCCAACGGACAGAATAACTTTTGCAGTCGGGAGATTGATGGAAGGCCGTCCGTCTGCCTATATGTCCTCCACTGTTCCCAGCAACCACACGCATCGTGCTACTGCTCGCAAGCCTAACACTGCCAACACAGCATATCACCTGGTCACAGACTACAGCAGCCGTGACGGGAAAGTGTCGAGCGCAGGACAGACAAGGCTTAGCAGAAAACGGCACAAAACATCGGATAGATCCATAGCGGCCCTGGACTGGACCCATTGGAGGGTTCATTGTTTGGCGAGCGGGTGCCTGCTTCATGCCAGTTCCGTCACGCCGTCGTGGTTCCGACCACGGCGGAGTCTACCGGCGCGGCAGGGGCCGAGCACAATGATTACGGCAACAAGTCTTGCAAAAGCTCACTGCTCAACTCCAAATAAGGGCGGAGCTACAAAATCCCCCACTGGAGGCTTTGATTCCACGTACCTTGGGCGCATAGACTGCGGCTTAGAAACACGAGTGTCCACCACCCAACTCACACAATGGTCGCAAAGTGGCTTGGCAAGGTTCAAAGTGGTTGACGGTTGACATGAGTTGGCTTGCCGGAATACGCCACTCGGGTAAGGCCCTTGAAAGGGGCTGGAACATATGGCCAAGGAGACAGAGGGTCGGGCCTTGCTCTACGAAGAAGGGAAATTGAAAAAGTAGGTATCTAAACGAAAAGCACGAGCTCGCTGCCATTTTTTTCCGCCATCCCAACACCCAGATCAAAATGCCGCAACCGTCATGCCTTGCATGCCTGAAATTGCTCCGCCCGTCGCCACCGCAACTACGACCTTCATATCATAGCTAAATTTGTGAGTAGGGAGGTCCGTCACATGAACTATGGTTAGATTCGCCTGGCCCCCTATTGGAATGACATGCTCTGCTGTATTTGACCCTGACCCACGAGGCCGTCACATCAGGCTGGCGAACCACTGCCTAGTAACTCCTACCAAACATGACAAACGTCTCGGCGAGCTTATCACAGTCAGGGCTGAGGCACTTGGTCTCGCCCTTGACGAGGCCACCCTCTGGCTGCTCAAAGGGAATGCACAGGCTCTTCATGCCCATCGAGGGTGCTTTTTGGCCGTCAGCCATCAGCTCCACGCCGCTGCCCTTGGTGATGTCCTTGATGTGGTCCTCGCACTTGCCGTCCAGGCAGTGGGGAATAAGAACCACGTTTTTGGAGTCAAGTGCGGGCACAACCTTGTCCCACTCCGAGATGACGAGCCGGTGCGATCGGAAGGCGGCGTCGGCCTTCTCGAACATGGCCTTCTGGATGGTCTCGAGCAGTTCGGGGACCTTTGTGGCGAGGTCGGCAATGGGGATGGTGCCCTTCTCGCCAGTGTCGCGTCGTGCATAGCTCACCACCTCCTTGGCCGCGTCCTTGGGGCCGAACTCCAGGCGCAGCGGCACACCCTTGAGCTCCCAGTCGTTGAACTTCCACGGCGGGGTGTAGCCCTCGCGCAGGTCCGCCTCGACGCGCAGGCCGGCGTCTTTGAGCGTCTTCCTAATCTCCTCCACTTTTTCGCCGTGCTTGGTCCTCTCCTCAGGGGTGGTCTTGGCAGTGAGGCCAACGGGGATCAGAACGGTCTGGATCTTGGAGATGCGGGGCGGAAGAACTAGGCCTTTGTCGTCGCCATGGATCATGACCATGACACCAATAACACGCGTCGACAGGCCCCACGAGTTCTGCCAGACGTGGAGGTGGCCGCCCTGCTTGGCCGGGTCCTCGACAGTGATGTCGAACATTTTGCTGAAGTTCTGACCAAGACAGTGCGACGTGGCGCCCTGGATGCCGCGGCCGTTGGAGGGGATGTAGCCCTCAACTGTGGTGGTGTAGTATCCACCAGCAAACTTCTCGTTCTCTGTCTTCTTGCCGCGCACGACCGGGACGGCGAGCAGCTGCTCGTAGACGCCGGCATACAGCTCCAGGATTTCCAGCACCTCCTTGCCAGCCAGCTCCTCGGAAAGGTGGGCCGTGTGGCCCTCCTGCCACAGGAACTCCCTGGCGCGCAGGAAGGGGGTCGTCTGCTTGGCCTCCCAACGCACGACCGAGTTCCATTGGTTCAGGCGCAGAGGCAGATCGCGATGGCTGCGGATCCACTTGGCGTAGTAGGGGTACATGACGGCCTCGGAGGTCGGGCGGACAGCGACGGGGACCTCGAGGTCCTTGTCGCCACTGGACCAGCCAAGAGTCAGCTTCTGCCCACGCGGCGACACGGCCAGCACCTCTGGGTATGAACTTACGCCTTGGTGACCCAGGCCAGCTCGGGCGCAAAGCCCTCGACGTGGTTCTTCTCCTTCTCGAGCGACTTGGAGGACAGGAACATGGGAAAGCTGGTCTCCTCGACGCCCATGACGTCGATCCTCTCCTGGAACCACTTGCGAATATGACTCCACACAAACATGGCAGCAGGGCGTAGGATGTAGAAGCCCGAGATCTCGTTGTAGTACTCGATCATCTCGGCCTTGAGCACCACCTCCTGGTACCACTGGGCAAAGTTTTCATCCTTGGAAACGGTGATGCCGATGATGTCGTCCGTCTTCTTGGTCTGGACGGGCATCTGCTTCGCGGCCTTGGCGGCCTTCTCAGCGCCCTTTTGCGCAGCCTTGGCGGCCTTCTTGAGCGCGCTCTTGGAGGGCTCCGTCGACTGCTCGGCGGCCGGCGGCTGCTGCTCGTTGTCGGCCATGGTTGCGACGGGCTTTGCTGGGAGTTCTAGGTGGTTGTCGCTCGTGGGAGAGCAGCGAAAAGCTGGATTGGGTCACCAGTCGTCTGTCCCGTCCTCCAAGATGTTGACTCAGGCTGGGTGCTTCATCAGCCTATTGTGGTTGTGCCGTCCTCCTAATTTGTGCCCCGCATTCCATCTCCCGCGCGCGCAGATTCACGCGAAATGGGGGGGCTGTCAATGAGGGGCAGGGCCCTGGCAGGTGAGCCACAGTGACCTCAACTCCAGCTGTGGCGGAAGTGTGGCAGCAGAGGCAGCTTGGCCAATTACAAGCCAAGGAGCACTTGCAGTTCCGCAAAAAAAAGTTCCCAGCTGGGCCGTGCGACTGCCCACTGCTTGGGGAGAGCTCCAAATCCCACCTGGCCGCCAAGTGCAGGGCGGCGACACAGCTTGCGGCAGGCTTGACTGCACCCAATTTCTGCTGCTCCCCCACCGCCGCCACAACAAGCCAGAGCCTCCATCACGGAAAGGCTGCTGTCTGGAGCTATAACGACGGATTTGAAACCTTAGATACGCTGCTTCTTGGGTCTTGATACTTTTTCAGCATGGCATCAATGTTTGCGCAGCCGGGGAACGGCACGCTGTTCCTTGGCGGCCAGAAGATTTCGGGCTCCGATATCCGCGATCAGAATGGTGAGAGCGTCACAAGCACAGGTCGGGGGAGTTTGCGGCGGCACGGCTAACCTTCCTGTCCCCAGTCCTTGCCACCCAGGCCATCGCAAATGTCGTCAAGAGCTCGTTCGGCCCAAGCGGCCTCGACAAGATGATGGTGGACGATATCGGTGTACGACCTAATCTCCTCGTTCTTCTAACGATGCCATGGCGCTGACACGCCGACCTGCAGGATGTCACGGTTACAAACGACGGCGCCACCATTCTCAGCCTACTAGACGTCGAGCACCCTGCCGGCAAGATCTTGGTGGATCTGGCCCAACAACAAGACAAGGAGGTGGGCGACGGAACCACGTCGGTGGTGCTGATCGCGGCGGAGCTGCTGAGGAGGGGGAATGAGCTTATGCGTAACCGGATACACCCGACAACCATTATCACGGGCTACCGCCTGGCGCTGCGTGAGGCGGTCAAGTACATGAACGACAACATCAGCGTCAAGGTCGAGAACCTGGGACGTGAGTCATTGATCAACATCGCCAAAACGTCCATGTCCAGCAAGATCATCGGCGCCGACTCGGACTTTTTTGCCAACATGGTCGTCGACGCCCTACAAGCCGTCAAGAGCACAAACAATCGCAACGAGACCAAGTACCCGGTCAAGGCCGTCAACATCCTCAAGGCCCACGGCCGCGGCTCGCTCGAGTCCGTGCTGGTCAAGGGCTACGCTCTAAACTGCACTGTGGCATCGCAAGCCATGAAGACGCGCATCACGGACGCAAAGATCGCCGTCCTCGACATCAACTTCCAGAAGGAGCGCATGAAGCTGGGCGTGCAGATTACAGTTGACGACCCGCAGCAGCTCGAGCAGATCCGGGCACGCGAGGCGGGTATGGTGATTGAGCGTATCGAGATGATCCTTAAGGCCGGCGCCAACGTGATCCTGACTACCAAGGGCATCGATGACCTCTGCCTCAAGATGTTTGTTGAGCGCGGAGCCATGGCGGTGCGACGCTGCAAAAAGGAGGACTTGCGCCGCATCGCCCGGGCCACGGGCGCCACTCTGCTCGGCACGCTGTCGGACCTCAACGGCGACGAAAAGTTCGAGCCGTCCTACCTCGGCCACGCCGACGAGGTGTCGCAGGAGCGCATCTCGGACGACGAGTGCATCCTGGTCAAGGGCACCAAGACGCACTCATCGGCGTCCATCATCCTCCGTGGGTCCAACGACTTCCAGCTGGACGAGATGGAGCGGTCGGTACACGACTCCCTCTGCGCGGTCAAGCGAACGCTAGAAAGCGGCAGCATCGTGCCGGGAGGCGGCGCAGTCGAGACGGCACTGCATATTTACCTGGAGGAGTTCGCCGGTACTGTCGGATCGCGTGAGCAGCTAGCCATCGGCGAGTTTGCGCAGTCGCTTCTTGTAATCCCCAAGACTCTCTGTGTAAACGCAGCCAAGGACGCTTCGGACCTCGTGGCTCAGCTGAGGGCGCGGCACGCTCTTTCGCAGCGCACGCAGGAGGGCGGCGACGCCAACGAGGACGAACGCGTGGTGGCGCGCAAGAAGGGCTACCGCAACTACGGCCTGGATCTGGCGCGAGGGAAACTGGTGGACCAGATTAAGGCGGGCGTGCTGGAGCCCAGCATCAGCAAGGTGCGGCAGCTCAAGAGTGCCGTCGAGGCGTGCATCAGCATCATGCGCATCGACACGCTCATCAAGCTGGACCCGGAGCAGAGGGCGGAAGAGGACGACGGGCATGGCCACTAGACGCGGAAAGGAGAATAAGAAAAAGAGCTCTTTGTTTGGCCGCTTTACCATATACTACTACTTTTCGCGCTCATGTCGCGGAGTTTAGGGTGTCACTTGAAAGGCTAGGTGTGGTCCGGTCATGTTTTACGAATGCATTTGATGAAGCACCTGTCTGGAAGTCTTTGCTGTATTATTGCCCGCCCGCGACTAGAGAGCACCTCCTATGCTGACGACGACAGCACAGATCAACTGATGCAGGCCAAGACGATCGCCGGCTGTGTGACAGTCAGCTCAAGACGTCGACGGCGGACTGCTGGCGGTCAAGGTTCCGGAGCGGCCAAGGGGCGCCACGGTCCCGCAGGGCGGAACTAGGCCGATAGCTAGCCAGGTGCAGCTGCAGATTTACTGCATTGTTACATCTGCCGCTTACTCTCGGCTTTGTGACCCGAGCCAGCCGCCACCAGCGCCCCAAGCGGCGACACGCATTCCTTATCAACGACCTGCCATGATGCTGGCACGCACTGCACGCTAGTAGCAGCGACATGTTTGAACTGTTGGCAACGCAGAAGTTGTGACGTAAAACTAGAGGAGCCAAGGCGGCCTGCTGACCTCGCCTCGGTTTCCAGGCGCGGGGCTGCGGTCTACAACCCTGTCCATGGCGGGTGCTGGAGCGTACTCCCGCATTCTAGTACCAAATTCCGGTGCCGGGTTTCAACTCAAACATCCAAATCAGGTCCCGTGGGTGCCGGTATGAACTAACTGGGCGTGCTGGGCTGTCAGCTGGCCTGGCTCGCGAGTCGATCGACTTCTGCTTGTTCAACCTGGCTCCCTTGCACGGACAGGGATGGTGTCCCTCGCCCGGTCTTGCCCGGTTGCCTATCCAGAGCAAGTTGGCGGGCGGAAAACAAAGGATGGCCGACATGAGGTCCGCCGACGGACAAGGCATGACAGGGCAGGGCGGGGGAGCCAGTTCACCGTGGCCCCACACTATTGTCAGCGTGCATTTACTGACACAGCGGGCTCGGGCTAGGCGCGGCAGGGCGGAGGCTGTCGAGGCCGTATTTGAAGACGGTTGCCCTATCCGCACTTTTGCAGGCACGTCTGCCCGCACGGGTAGATGACTCACAACACCACTGGTTTCGCCTCGAGAGCCGACAGTTGAGTAATTCCGTCACTGTGCCGCCATCGGAGCGTACTTGTATCCAAACGAAGCCATCTCGGAAGCCATCTCGGGCCCGGCACAACTTGAACACTTCCCACCTCGTACCCCCAACCGACGGAAATCACATAGCCACCATGGGGTCGTTCGGGCGATCAGAAGATCTGCCGTCGGCGTCGGAGCCTTTCCTCGTCCTCGCACACCCGACCGACTCGGAGCTGAAGCGGATCTGGACCATGACCCATGGACCGTGGGGCCCCGCACTGTCGCTGGACGAATATATCGAGCGCGAGGCCTACCTGTACACCATCCCCGGGTCCAAGGACGGCCTGCAGAGCAGCTGGATCCTGACGGACGGCAGGTTGCCGCCAGACGCGCGGCCAATCCTCTCGTCCTGTGACACGTACCGGAAGCATGCCATGGTGTCGTATCCGCCGCCGGCACCGGGCCAGGCCGCGACAGCGGCCACCGACGTGGTGGCGCACGGAATCGGGGCCGTGTTCACGGACCCCCAGTTCAGGGGCCAAGGCTACGCTAGCCGCATGATGAGGGAAGTGGGCGAGGCGCTGCGGAGCTACCAAGCTAGTGAGAATCACAACGGACAGCTGGTGACAAACGGGGACGAGAAGGCGGCCCAGGCCGGGGCTCTCTTCTCAGTACTCTACTCGGACATTGGCAAGAAGTTCTACAGCAAGCTGGGCTGGCTGCCCGCCGAGAGCACACACGTGACGTGGATGCCCGCGCCCGAGGGAGCCGCCGACGACGACGCCGCCGCCGCCGCCGCCGCGCTAGACGAAGCCGTCCGGCCCCTGGGCCGCAGCGAGCTGGCGGAGCTCTGCGCCGCCGACGAGCGGCTGCTCCGGGCGCGCCTGGCCGAGACGGCGGGCCAGACGGGCAAGGCGGCCGTGGCGCTGACGCCGACGCACGACGCCATGACGTGGCACCTGGACCGCGAGGACTTTATGTGCTCGCGCGTCTTCCCGGACGGGCGCACGCCCGCGGTCCGCGGGGCCGTCTACACGTGCCCGAC